TTGCAAGTGTTAGCCTTCCATGTTGGGAGGGGAAAAATGATAAAAAAGGAGTTTATAATTGAGAGCCCTTGCTAGATTTTTCTTTTTATTTTCCTATTTCTAACATTGAAATCAATATCACTTTTTCTTCTTCCATTTCGTTTCTTCCATAGCTTTTTCACTTTTTCCTCTTTGCCTCAACACTTCATACTTTATCTTCAAAAGGAGTGGGGTAGAAGGGGATAAATGGGATTCCAACCCTAACAATAGAGTGAGGATAAATAACAATAGTATTGGAGTTGAAAAGGAATAATATAGATTTTGAAATAAAGATTAATGTGGTAAATTTGAATGGAATGTCAATCCATTAATGTATATAGGGTTTAAACCCCAATTAACATATCCCAAGCACTTACAAAGGTATTTCCTATTTAAATTATTTTATTATTTTAAAATACTTTAATTTTTATTTCCTTTATTCTTGTTTTATTACTATAAATATAAAAGTAAAATATAAAAATTTGTATAATATATATAAGTTTTATATTTTGTATAATTGTTCTTAATTGCTGAGTTTGGTTTCTTATTCTAATTTTTGTTAATAATTGAATTCTTTTTTTACTTTTCTAAATTAAATCATTGCTATTTGAGCTTAGTTCTTTTCTCACCTGGGAGGTTTTTAAAACTCGAAGTTGGAAGTTTAAGGGAGAGAGGCACTCAGCAGCAACTTGACAGTTGGCAGGGACACAACACAGCAGTTGTTCCATCATCGATATGGTGATTGCTCAGGACACCATCATGGCCATGTTTGCGTTGACAAGAAACGACTGATTTTGGAGGAAACCAAGAGCACAAACTTTGATTCTAGAGCTTCACAAGGAAACACTTCTACAGGGATAATCACTAGAATTCTTGGTACAACATGCTTATAGAGAAGAGACTGCCAAGGTGTCATAACCTGATTCTCCAAAGTTGGATGCAGTGGAGCAAGACAAGGCTGTTCTGTGTGTGCTGCAAAACCTCTGTCTTTTGACAAGGCAAGTGCTGAATCCGGTTGTGTCAATTTTGTTTTAATTGAATTGTTTCAAGTTAGGTTTGTGAGAACTTCCTGGGCTAAGAGAGCTGAAACCTCGCAAAGCTTGCCAGCGTGAGTCATCGACAAAGCAATGAACGAGGGATTTTTGCTTCTAGAGATTCGGGGATGCCAGGGTATTAAGAAAAGGCACCAGGGAAGAGGACCATAGAACCTACAGCAAGGAGAATTCCTGGCTCAATCAATTCACAATGCCGTTACGGGTGATCCAAAAAAAAGAAAAGAAAGAGCTCTCAGGATTATAAATAAAGGTGTTGTTAGGAGGCTGGGGGGGGGCATTGCGAGAATCGAACTCGCGACCTCTCGCACCCAAAGCGAGAATCATACCACTAGACCAAATGCCCAAGCTCACATAAGCATACCAGCAAAGACTATCTTGATAGTGGAGAACAGGACCGCCAAGCAAGCAAACGTGTAAACTACAAAGGTCATGTTTCTGTGACGCTCTATCTGCAATGCATGACCGCTGCACATTTTCCACAAAAACAACACACACAGCAGTAAAGGAACTGAAAGAGACAACGTGTGTGAGTGATCCATACACATATGCGTGTGTTTAAAGGAGCCGAGTGAGGTGAGGCGGACAAAATGTCGTGTGATGTTGGGTTCTACTAGACTGTGATAAACCACGGGGCACATACATCCCCATCAGCCAGCCAGCCAAAGAGCTTCAGCGAACACCTTACGTATATTTATACTTACATAAGACACAGTCGTCATTTGAATTAGGGCAAATCCAATTCCGCGAGTCGGTGGAAGAACCCTGAGAAAAGAAAAGACCAACGATGTGGCAATCGCACGACGCCGACGTGCGTGCAATATTATAACAAAGTTGGCGGTATGTTCAGTACCTAACAAATGGGGACGGAAGGGCAAGATGAAGAAAAGACACGGAGCAATGAAATCCACATCTGCCTCTGTACGGTAAAGTGACTTCGCGAAAACAGGCATCGTTCAGATTCTTCATACCAAACTCTTTGATCCAATCCAATGTTTTACGACCGTTCTACTGCCGCTATTTTACTGCCGGTGTTGTTGTTGTTGTTGCAGCTGCTGTTTGTTGAACACAAGCAAGTCAGGTCAGGTCACAGAGCTGAGGATCAGACACTGGAGCAGTGAGAAAACGAGCCACCCAAGTTACACAACGTTCAATGAAAGAAAAGGGCCTGAAAGAGATATAAAGTAATCGTCGTTGTCACCGTCTTGAAAGCGTCAGCAGCACGTCCCGCGAGTGTGGGTCGCCATCACACTTGAATTGGGCTCCTCCCCGCTTTGGTGCTGCTGTGACAAATTCTTCGTAAATGTGCTGTGCTGCCAGCGACGGGAAAAGGCCGCAATTGCAGGTACTTAAACCTGTAAGAAGGGCGAGAAAAGGAACCCCTGTGCCAAGCACTTCTAGGTATGGATGTAACTTCATTGTTTGCGCTATACAATCAAAGCCACTTTCGCCATCAATCTACACACACAAAGCGATAGTTGTAGCAGCTTTCGCAGAGGATTCTTTATGTTTAACATTGTTGCTATAGTAACAGTGCGGGGCTTCCAGCTCGCCCAAGTCCAAGTCTTTGGCTAGATAAGGGCACCTGATAAGTGGTGCTGCGTATGACACTGTACAATAATAATAAGGTGGTGGAACCTTGGTTCTTATCTCAAAGTCGTTTAGTGGAAATCCTGTGGTATGAGCGAAGGTGGCGAGGAAAAGAGAAAGGAATCCCTTGCTTGACAATGCAGCTCCACCAAACAAATATTCCCGCGGTGGATTGAATCCAGAGAGCTCACGTACGCCAAGTACGTAAACATTACCTGACGATGAACATTGTCTCTCGATCGAGGAACCTTTCGCTCCTTTGTTTATACGTGACAAAAGGCAGGAGGCCGGCTAAAGTACGGCATTAGATCCACTGTCGTACGCATTATTTTTCTTTGTTTTGCTGCTAAAGCAGCAGGGAAAGCGAATCTCTGGAATGAATGCGAGCAAGGACGGCAAACAGGTGTGCCACCAAATTGCATGATCTCCAATTGATTGATGGCGAGTCACATCGCAATCGGAGGCAGCAGTACGAAGGAAAGCTCGATGGAGTTCGAGAGTGTTAGAGAGAGAGAGAGAGAGAGAGAGAGAGATATTGAAGATGAACTTTCTGTTTGGAACTGGATGGATGATTTTTGGTGTTTGATCAATCTATGCACACCACCACCACCAACACAACGCCATCAGTCTTGGATGTGATGCTCAAAGATCACAATTATATCTCGCAATCATTTGGTTGGATGGCTTGATCCAATCCAACACCATCGACCCATGCGCTGTAATCCACTCCAAGAACCCGACCAACGAAAATGCCCCGCCTGAACGACCAGTCTGGATTGGGGTGGCTAGTTCTCCAACTTGGCAGAAAAAAGCTCGGAATTTTTGCACGGCGCAAAATGCCGCACAGCAGTTGCAGCAGAAGAACAGAGGACAGCGCAGACAGGCAAAGCAAATTTACTCTCGCATCGAAAAAAAAGAACTTGTCCCGGACTGATACACCACTCGCGATCACGATCAGGAGTGATGTGAACTTCCCAATTTTACTCTGTCAAAGAAAAAGAAAGAAAGAAGAAGAACCAGTGTACTCCCGAGGTGTTCTCCCTTTAGCTCTTGTCGTTCGTTGCTTGCTGCTAAAGTGCTGCCATCGCCATAGCCATGAGACTCTCTCTCTCTCTCTCTCTCTCTCCAAACGAACAACCAGCCCAGTCTTACACTGCGCGTGCTTCGCTTGCGCGTCCCGATCTCATTCATCCCACAAAAAGGAACAAAAAGATTTTAATTTCAGTCCTTAACATGCGTAGTGTCAATCTGCACAGCGCGGTACGCCAGTCAGGCCGGGCGGTACACAGTGCGGTGCCAAGAAAAGCAAAGATTGAGACTTATACCTTAGTTTTTCTGATGGAAGTTTTATTTTTTTCTTGATTGGCGAGATATCACATCAATCAATCGCAGTCCGATCATGTGGCGTAATCCCTCCATCTTCGTTCCACTGTCATCCACGGGACACAGAGACTTAGGCCACAGTACAGAGACTTTATAAGGCGTTGCTTTCAACAGCGAGCGAGCAAACGACGACGCTTTTGTTTTGGGCTCACGAGAAGGATTGGAGATCGTGTGGAGTGGAGAAAAAAGGAGAGACCCAAAAAAAACGAAGAGAGATAAAAGATGGTAGCTCCATAGTGGCTACTCCAATAGTAGCGCGTTCTTGCTTCCAATGTTCAAGTCAACGATTGAGCGAGAAAAAAGATTCCATTCTCTCACCTCATGCCCCGCCGGGAATCCTGGTCGCGAATATGCTCCGGATTTAAACACGTCGAATTCAAGTGTCATGCCAAGCCTGTGACTTTCGCAAAAGGGATTTAAACTCGTCTCAGCGTTGTGGGCATTTTGTCCTATGGCCCGTAGCAGGGCGGTCACATCGAGGGAACGGACTCCTATTTTTTATCAATCACATTTTCTTGCCACCTTTTGCTCGACTCACACAGGCAGACACACAAAAAGAGAAATTACTATGCGATGATAAGTTAAAATCGACTGATATACTTTTCTTCTGGAAGCTCCGTCTGCCTCCGTTCACTGGACGGACGAGAAAAAAAACACGAGCTGCAAAATCCCTCGCACACTTTCGAACGGTCGAGATGTCCAAAATGTCGGGGGCAATCCCCGCTTCCCTGCCGTTGGATCTGCGCCCCGACAGGGCATTTGGATAGCGTATCGCGCCCAAAGGACGACAGATGATAAAGAAACCAAAGGGGCGGAGTGATACGCTATCGGCTACCTCCGACACTTTACCAGCCCGATAAGCGATAAGCGCGCGGCGTGATAGGGCGATACGCGGAGCGCGGGCGAGATGATAAGCGGCCAGAGAGCACTGTTTTTTCCTCCTCTTTTATTAGCAAATGTCGGCCATTCGATCGAAGGCGAGTGGTGGTGTGGTGTGGCTGTGGCGCTTGTGTGACAGTGTGTGGGGGAATTTTTATTTGGTTTTCCTGGCAAAGGAGAGAGAGAGATAGAAGAGAGAGAGAGAGAGAGAGAGAGAGAGAGAGAGAGAGAGTTTGTGTGTGTGAGCGTGAGAGTGTGAGAGGGCCTAGAATGCGGCATCGGCTTTGGCGAGGGCTTTGATTCCCAAGAAAGGATGCTGCTGCGCAACTCAATGTCCTTTCCTTGGAGTTCTTCCTCTTCTCTCTTTCTCTGTGTCAATCAAACCCTAGTCGCGGCGGAGGAGGATTCGCGAGCGCCGCCGCCAATAATCTAGGTCCGGCGTCCTGTTAAGGCGCGGGGTGCGGGATTGGACAGGTCGGGTGTGGATTCCCATGGATTGGTAGCTCAGGGTAGGACGCGCTGGTGGCAGCGGCCAAGGACAGGGCGGCGCGGCGGCGGCGGGGGCAGGGGAAGCGGTCCAAGAAGATCGGGGCGGTGGAGATATGTCGTCACTCAGCCGGGAGCTCGTGTTCCTCATCTTGCAGTTCCTGGATGAGGAGAAATTCAAGGAGACGGTGCACAAGTGAGAAGATTTGTGGTTTGTTCTTGTTGGTGGATGTAAGTGTTGTGTGATTTTGGCAGGCTGGAGCAAGAATCTGGCTTCTACTTCAACATGAAGTACTTTGAAGATCAGGTCCAGAATGGGGAGTGGGACGAGGTGGAGAGGTACTTGTCTGGCTTCACCAAGGTGGATGACAATCGCTACTCCATGAAGATTTTCTTCGAGATAAGAAAGCAAAAGTACCTCGAGGCCTTGGACAAGTGAGTGACAAGTTTTCTCTCTCTTTCTCTCTTTTTATGTTTTTTTGCTTCTCTCTTTATCTCGTGTGGTGAGCCAGTTCTGATAAGGGGGGCTCTGTGTTGTTTGCAGGCAAGATAGAGCGAGGGCAGTGGAGATACTAGTCAAGGACCTCAAAGTGTTTGCGTCCTTCAACGAAGATCTGTACAAGGAGATTACGCAGCTTCTTACGCTGGAAAACTTCAGGTTTGAAGTGTAACACGGCCCTTTTGTAGGCTGTCCTGACACGCTATGGACTTGGTTGCAGAGAAAACGAACAGCTGTCCAAGTATGGGGACACGAAATCTGCCCGGAACATAATGCTATTGGAGCTTAAGAAACTGATTGAGGCCAATCCTTTGTTCCGGGAGAAGCTTCAATTTCCGGGGCTCAAAGCGTCACGGCTCCGAACGCTGATTAATCAAAGGTGCGTACCTGCTTTTCCAGCTACTTCTGTGCTGATAGAAGAAATGCATTTCTTTGTTTATTTTTTTCCAGCCTCAATTGGCAACATCAGCTTTGCAAGAATCCTAGGCCCAACCCAGATATCAAAACTCTGTTTGTAGATCATACCTGTGGCGCGCCGAATGGAGCCCGCGCGCCACCACCAGCAAACAGTCCCTTGGTCGGGAGTCTTCCGAAAGGTGCCGGGTTCCCCCCCTTGGGTGCGCACAGCGTACGTGCAACTTGCAGGCTTTAGTTTTACTGTCTAACAACTTTGGTTTTGAAACGTGTACAGCCTTTCCAACCAGCGGCCCCTACAGCTAGTGCACTTGCAGGCTGGATGGCCAATCCAAATCCTCCGTCACATCCAGGTGTTGTCGGAGGGCCTGCCGCTCTCGCCGGAGCTCCGAACCCAGGTTTGGTTTTCGTTCTATTGCCGCTTTCAAGTTTTGAGCTGAGTTTCTTTCAGCTGCAATGCTAAAGCGACCCAGGACGCCTCCGCCAGCCCCTACGGTTGATTTCCAGACGGCTGATTCCGAGCACTTAATGAAGCGAAACCGACCTGTTGGTCAGCATGTGGAAGAGGTCGGGATGAAAGCGATAGTTTGAATTTTGTAAGTGACTTGCAATTGCAGGTGAACTTTCCGGGACCAAACATTCAGCAAGCGTCATACACGATAGATGATATTCCAAAGACTGTTGCGAGGACCATCAACCAAGGTTCCTGTGTTGCGACAATGGACTTCCACCCTCTGCAGCAAGTCATTCTTTTAGGTACAGTGCCCGCCGTGGTAGAAACGCGCTGATCTTCCTTTTTTCTGGCAGTTGGTACAAATGTTGGTGAAATTGCTATTTGGGATGTGGCCACGCGGGAACGCCTCGCGCTGAAAACGTTCAAAGTCTGGGAGGTTTCAGTGTGTTCTATGCCTCTCCAGGTCTGCTCATGTCCTTTTTATATCTATTTCTAGCGTTCTAACGTGCTTTACAGACTGCTCTCGTTAAAGACCCAGCAGTTGCTGTTACGAGGGTTGTTTGGAGTCCAGATGGAAATTTTATAGGTGCGCGCGATTGTCATATGCTGTTGAGCTAACTCGTTTTGCATGCGTGCAGGGGTGGCTTTCAATAAGCACATTGTTCAGGTTTATCAGTATTTTGGAGGCGTCGAGCTACGGCAGCAAGTGGAGGTATGTACGCATTGTTTATACCTTGTGACGACGAAAACACTTGAATGTTTCTCTTCCAACAGATTGATGCGCATGTGGGGAGTGTGAACGATCTTGCATTTGCCCATCCAAACAAGCAACTGTGCATAATTTCTTGTGGCGATGACAAAACGATCAAGGTCTGCATAATCTTTGAGATGGACTGAAAGAGCAATGAAAAAATCAGGTGTGGGATGCGGTGAGTGGTCGCAACAAATACACTTTTGAGGGTCACGAAGCGCCAGTGTACTCTGTTTGTCCGCATCACAAGGAAAATATACAGGTAAGATTGTGAGTTCCGCGTGTACTCTGATTTCAACACTTCTGTTCTTGGCAGTTCATATTTTCTACAGCAATGGACGGCAAAATCAAGGCGTGGCTGTACGATTGCCTTGGTTCACGGGTTGACTATGATGCGCCTGGAAGTTGGTGCACAACAATGGCCTACAGTGCTGATGGCACAAGGTTTGTCTCGTTCGTCTCGTTTCTATCGTAAGACACGCGCTAAACGAGGCTATGTGTTTTGTAGGCTCTTTTCGTGCGGAACTAGCAAGGAGGGTGACTCATTCCTTGTCGAGTGGAATGAAAGTGAAGGGGTTATCAAACGCACGTACATTGGATTCCGTAAGAGAATGCCAAACGTTGTCCAGTTCGACACCACTAGGAACTGCTTTCTAGCGGTTGGGGACGAGTTCTCGGTCAAGTTCTGGGACATGGACAACATAAACTTATTGACCTCCATCGATGCCGACGGCGGATTGCCTGTAAGCACTTGTTCGTTTCGAGGAAGATTCGTTGCTATAACGTTTTCTGTAGGCGAGCCCGCGAATTCGTTTCAACAAAGAAGGCTCTTTACTCGCAGTAACAACAATCGACAATGGTTTCAAGATTTTGGCTAATGCAGATGGCTTGCGGCTTCTACGGTCTTTTGAGGGTAACAAAGTACCTCCGGAAACAAAGGTATGACGGTCTATCCATAAAGGAATTTGTAAATTTGCATGTTTCTTCAGGGGAACGTTGCAAGTGCATCAGGCAGCGGGGTTGACAGACCAGTTTCGCAACCGGTACCTTTTACTGGAGGGGTATGGATGGAAATCTCTTTTGAAATGCCTTCTGACAAATATAACTGCAGAACGGCATTGAAAATGGACGCCCGGAGACAAAACCCCGAACTACAGACGACTCAAACAAACTGTGGAAGCTAACTGAAATTGTGGAACCCTCTCATTGTCGTGCATTAAAGCTACCAGATACTCTACCAGCAAGCAAGGTACTTGACTATTCGTAAGCTTGAGTGTTTACACTTTTTGCAACAGATATCAAGACTTATCTTCACAAACAATGGTCTGGGCTTATTAGCGCTCGCTTCTAGTGCAGTTCACAAGGTTTGGAAATGGTCTCGCAATCCACTTGGAAAAGTATGTGTGATGATTTGAATCTAGACCTTACCGATACTGACACTCATATTGTTCTTACAGGCAACTGCTAGTTTTCCACCACAACTATTCCAGCCATCAAGTGGGATTCTCATGACCAATGATACGACCGAGAACAATCCGGAAGAAGCTGTGCCTTGCATTGCCTTGTCAAAGAATGACTCTTACGTGATGTCCGCTTCGGGAGGCAAAGTTTCTCTATTTAATATGATGACTTTCAAGGTATGCACATTTTTCCTTCTTGACCGGTGTAAGAACTTGCCATGTCCAGGTGATGACAGCATTCATGCCACCGCCACCAGCAGCAACGTTCCTGGCTTTTCACCCTCAAGACAACAATATCATAGCGATTGGAATGGAAGATTCTACAATACAAATATACAATGTTCGAGTTGACGAGGTTAAAAGTAAGCTCAAAGGTCACCAAAAGAGGATTACTGGACTGGCATTCTCCAATGTCCTACACGTACTTGTGTCGTCTGGAGCCGATGATCAGGTAATGACGCTGCACAAGCGATGTTACTTGTCTAAACATCTTCTCTCTGCAGCTTTGTGTATGGGGCACCGATGGATGGGAGAAGCGCAAGTCAAAATTCCTTCAAACACCGCCAGTGAAGGGAACTCCGGCCACCGGAGACACGAAAGTACAGTTTCACAACGACCATACTCGTCTTCTGGTCGTGCACGAGACGCAGCTAGCTATTTATGATGCCGCCAAACTAGAGCGCTTGAGTCAAGTAAGCCGCATCTCCTTCTAAAAGACTCTCTCAAAATACTTGTTACTGTTCTTCCAGTGGGTTCCGAAAGACAACTTCCCGGCCGGAATCTCTAGCGGAACGTATTCCTGCGACAGTCGGCTGGTCTACGCCGCGTTTCTCGACGGCGCCATCGGCGTGTTTGAAGCCGAGACGTTGCGACCATACTGTCGCATTGCTCCGACCGTGTATCTACCTCAGGGAGTCACAGGGTACGTACACACGCTAGCTTTCCATGGAAATAAGTTTTCTCTCTTTTTTTTCGCAGCGCTCATCCGCTTGTAGTCGCTGCGCACCCCTCCGAGCCCAATCTCTTCGCACTGGGACTAACCGACGGAAGCGTCCAAGTGCTAGAGCCTCTAGAGTCGGAGGCCAAGTGGGGGGTGGCGCCGCCGGCGGAGAACGGCTCCGCCATGGTCACCACCTCGGGTCCGCCAACAGGCTCGGTCCAGGTATCGGATCAAGCATCGAGATGATGAGATTTTGCGGAGGGATCGTAGCTTCAAGCTTTTGTATGGTGAAGGGCGGAGCAGAGCTTGGAGGGGCTCTTTCGTACTTAGGAGGCGGATGGACGTCGAGGAAAAGCATGCTGCAGACATCAATTTTGTGCCCGGGCTGGAAGTCTTTTGGTAGAGAAAGGTGTACAGAGAAAAAAGCTAAGTTTCTTCGTTTGTGCCGCGAAGAACTGACCGTGGTTTCGTCGTCAGAAGGGAAGGGTTTCGAGGTGTATACTATAATCAACTCATTCTTAAGTTTCATATCCATATTGTTTTCATCTTCATCAACGCAGAAAAATCTTTGCTTGCCTTGAATGATTTGCAACGTTGAAAGGATAGATTTTCAGCTTCGCATTCTTTCGCGAGAGCTCAACCACTCGTGTATTCTTTCCATCCTCGCCGAAAAAGAAGACGAGCCCAAGAACGACCCCCTTTACATTTCTGCAAAAGGTGAACGTTTGAGAAGCGATACAAACTTTCAAGCAACCTACGAACATACCACTTTGTAGCGCGACGAATTTGGCGATGGTGTCCAGGCCAGCCTCCGTATAAAACGATGCAAGTTTCTCGCTAATCTCATCCCAGTTCCCATCCACGGTTCCCAGGTCCAAAAGGAACGCTGCTTGATCCAATGCCACCTGCAAAACAAAGGTTGGAAAACATCTTGTAGATGAGATCACCACGACCGTGTCACCTGTTCGGGGGCTTTGCCTTTGTTAAGCTCCTCCTTTCTTCCTTCCTCCGTCATCTTCTCTCTCATGTACTCCACTTTCTCGTCTCCCCACCCGGCAATCTCGGCCACAGTCTCGTACTCGCAGCCCAGCGTCCACCACGGCGACTTGAGAGCAATCCTGGCCGCGTCTTTGGCCTCGCTCTTTCGTCCAATTCTGGAAAACAAGGTGAGTTTTTACAGCAAATCTTTCACGGAGATCGCAAACTTTAGCATGAGCTCCGCGTTGAAAACAAGAGGTCTTCCAAATCCAGGAAAGTGCTTCTTCGTAACATAAAACTCTCCGGTTACTAGAGCAGATACCTGGCTCAATACAGCTAAGAGAGTTAGTGTGAAGTTATAATGCGCGTTTACCTCGTCGCCCTTCTCGAGGTGCTTGAGAGCTAAGCGCTCAAACACATCCGGAAACAGTCCTACCTGCAGTTTCAAAAATCACAAAGAAAAACTCGGCAAGAACAAGGCGAGCATCACCTTCTTCATGAGATAGACATCCAAACCAGCTAGTTTGGAGTTTTCGAAGTCACCTCTTTTATAAGGAACTCTGTCCGGATCACCGCCAGCGGAAGCAACGGCAGCACTGTAGCATGCGTCACCACGACCGTGAACCTCTTCCTCGACGAGAATCTTTTGCAGATATTGTTCTACCTGTGAAAGCAACGCGTTGCTGCGTACATGAGAATGATCGGGGCTTACTCACGCTCTTAGAAAGGAGGCACAGTCCATACTTGTGTACTTCGACAACTGGGATCGCCATGCTGTTAGAATTTTCGTGCATGGAGCATTGATTTCCTTGTTTCTAAACGAAGGGAATAAATCGCTGGAGGTGATGATTTATACTGACCCTTCTGGTGGCGTCGGCCATCTCAACAAAGCAGTGATAGTGCCTGTGATAGTCGTATGGCAAACGAAGATAGAATTTCTTTTTTGAGCTTACCAGTAGAGTTTTGTGACAGTGGGATCGCCAAAGGATGCAATCCCTGCCTTTTCTCTGGAGAAACTACTTGCTCGCCTGATGAGAAAGCAATCAAAGATGGAGCGAAAGAGAAATTTACGCAAACCTTTGGCTTGCAAGACGTCGAGCAGCATTTGGAGCTGCGTGGGAGGCTCCAGTCCCGCTACATTCCTCACAAAATTGCCATGGTTATCAGTGACGCCTGCGACAACAGTATTAGGTTAGAACGAGCTCCTGGGTTGGAATCAGCGGCAAGACCTCTTGCTAGACTCGGAGATTCTATGCCCGAGCTGGAAATCGCAGCGCAATGCCGCCTGTGCCGATGAATCCAAGCGGCGGGAGCTGGGACGATCACTCCAGCCCCGCGCAAGGCGCTACTACTAGCATCCATGACCTAAAAAATATGATGTGGCCAATGTGGAGCCACGTCAGCAGTAGAATCGAGGTGCCTAGCCCTAGCATGGTCGATAGCTTTTCCAGCCTTGTCATTGGTTGAGCGCTTGGAATGGCGCCCAAGGGAGAGAAGAAGCCCGCGAGCAAAGCCCCCGCGGAGAAGAAGCCCGTGGAGAAGAAGCCCCGGGCGGCGGCAGCGGCGGACAAGGATGGATCCGGCGGCGGCGGTGGCGGAGTGGCGGCGGCGGCGATGAAGAAGAAGCGCATGAAAAAGGCGACGGAGACGTACAAGAGCTACATTTTCAAGGTGCTCAAGCAGGTCCACCAGGAGATTGGGATCTCGAGCAAGGCCATGGGGATCATGAACAGCTTCATCAATGATATCTTTGAGAAGCTCGCGCAGGAGGCGGCGCGGCTGGCGCGCTACAACAAGAAGCCCACCATCACGTCGCGCGAGATCCAGACCGCCGTGAGGCTCATCCTCCCCGGCGAGCTCGCCAAGCACGCCGTGAGCGAGGGGACCAAGGCGGTCACCAAGTTCACGAGCGCGTAGTAGTGATCGTGATCTTCTCTTTCTCATCGTTTAGGCCAGAGAGTTCTTATTTGAATCACTTTGCCCTAAACAAAGAGTGTTCTTCTTCCACAACTGCCAGAGATTTTAGGTCGCGGTGATCGACGCTCGCGATGAATGTGCATGACGCGGAGGCGCCACCTCTGCCCGCTGTGGATCGCGCAGCTCCTCCCGATGGAAATGTAGGTACCGGCATCGAGGAAATCTTGGAATCGGCGACGCCGGCGACGCCGATCGAGGTAGAGGATTCGCAGGAGGTCCGGGTAGAGGTCCGGGAGGCGCAAGGCGCAGAGGAGAAGGGATTGGATGCTCAAGCGTCGGGGATTTCAGCTTCCATCGGGCCAGGCAAAGGATCGGACGCTAAAGTGTCGGAAGTTTCGTTGTCGATCCGGCCTGTGGAAGAACAAGCATCGGTCTCGACCGTGGTATCGACTGCTGCAGCTAGTGAAGAACCGGATCGTTCCAAGGCAGACGAGTTTAAGTCCTTGCCTTTCTACAAGCTCTTCATGTTTGCCGACTGGCTGGACGTGCTTCTCATGTCGCTGGGGATCTTTGGAGCCGTCGGGAATGGCATGGCACGGCCGCTCATGGCTCTCATCTTTGGACAGGTTGCCAACGCTTTTGGGGAGAATGAGCACAATGTCTCCAACCTTGTCCACGAGGTCTCCAAGGTATAGTAGATCTCCAACTTTTGGTTCTTGGCTGCTTGAGTTTGACGAGCTTGCAATGCAGGTTGCTCTTCGATACGTGTTTTTGGGTCTGGGAACAGGAGCTGCGGCTTTGATGGGTGAGTATTTTACAATTGTGAATGATAGCTTTTGGATTGACAAGCATGGATTTTCTACCAGAGACTTCATTTTGGATGTGTGCTGGCGAAAGACAAGCAGCACGGATTAGAGCTTTGTATTTAAAGTCGATTTTGCGGCAGGACGTCTCATTTTTTGACAAGGGAATCAGTACTGGCGAAGTGTTGGGCCGAATGTCGGATGACACTTTTCTTATACAGGATGCCATTGGTGAAAAGGTATGCAAAGATGATCTGGTTTTCATTCCTAAGCTTGTCTATGCAGGTTGGAAAGTTTGTACAGCTCTTGTCCACGTTCTTTGGTGGTTTTATACTCGCATTTATCAGAGGTTGGAGGCTTGCGCTTGTCGTTTCATCAGTGCTGCCCCTCCTCGTCATTGCGGGAGCTACGATGGCTATGCTGATTTCTAAAACGTCGAGTAGGGGACAAATGGCTTATGCTGACGCTGGAAATATTGTCCAACAAGCTGTGGGTGGCATTAGGACGGTAAGGCGACATCAAACGTCCGGTTTCATTACTCATTGTCTTTTGTCATCAGGTTGCATCTTTCACCGGAGAAGACAAAGCTGTGGGAGACTATGATACAGCTTTGGGAAAGGCATATAGAGCTGGTGTTTATCAGGGTTTAAGTTCAGGTTTTGGCATGGGATGCACGTTGCTAACGCTCTATTTGAGCTATGCTCTGGCTCTTTGGTATGGCTCCAAGCTTATTCTTCACAACGGTTATACAGGCGGTGCAGTCATCAACGTCATGCTTTCGGTTCTCATGGGAGGCATGTAAGATGGATATCTCGCAGTCTATATCAACCTTAATTCAACAGTAAGAAAAGCTGGTCTTTAAAATTTCTTACAATAGCGCTGTATTGAACTTGTAGTGCAGGGCACTGGGCCAGGCTTCACCATCTCTGCGTGCCTTTGCAGCAGGCCAAGCAGCTGCGTACAAGATGTTTGAAGTTATACATCGCGTGCCTGCAATCGATTCCTACAATATGGAGGGTGCCATTCTGACAGACGTGCAAGGGAACATAGAGATTGAAACTGTGAACTTCACTTACCCCTCACGACCAGGCGTACAGATCCTAAAAGGCTTTTGTTTATCGATCCCGTCTGGGATGACAGCTGCACTTATCGGACAAAGTGGAAGCGGAAAGTCTACGGTCATTAGCTTGCTGGAAAGGTTCTATGACCCACAAAGTGGCGTGGTTTCTATCGACGGCCACGACATCAGAAAACTACAGCTCAAATGGCTGAGACAGCAGATTGGACTCGTGAGTCAGGAGCCAGTCCTTTTCGGAGTATCTGTGTTGGAAAATGTCGCCTATGGAAAAGATGGTGCAACCAAGGAGGATGTGCAAGCCGCATGTGAACTGGCCAATGCTGCAAGGTTCATCAGCAACATGCCACAGGTAGACGTGCTCTTTATTTTATTTTATTTTTCCGGCAATTCAATTGAACATAACATGTTTCAGGGATATGACACTCATGTCGGACACCACGGTACACAATTATCTGGTGGCCAAAAGCAGCGGATAGCAATCGCACGGGCGATACTAAAAAATCCCCGTATACTTTTGCTGGATGAGGCTACTAGCGCGTTGGATGCGGAGTCCGAAAGAATCGTTCAAAAATCTCTTGAACGTGTCATGGTAGATCGCACTACCGTGATTGTGGCACACAGACTTTCGACAATCCGGGACGCAAACTCTATTTTCGTGTTCCAACAAGGAAAAATAGTAGAAAGTGGTACGTGCCACGAAAACATTAAAAACCAAGGCGTCCTCACGCTGTTACCTTTTGCAGGGACGCATTCAAGTCTTTTGGCTAATCCAGATGGCCACTATTCTCAGCTTATAAAACTTCAGGAAATGCGTCATGACGACCACCGTGACGAGGAGTCCGGCAGCAGCAGCAGCAGCAGCAGTGGTAGCGGCAGTCCGAAAGTATCTCGTCGTCGGTTGTCATCTCTGAGGGAATCAAGCCTTCAAATACCAGTACAAAGAGAGGTGCAGGAAAGTGGTCGCAGTCACAGCAGATGGAAGTATCTCTTTGGTTTGAAACATAAGCCTCGGGATGGGGTAAGTACAACTTCGTCGATGCTACGGCTGGCTGCCTTGAACAAACCAGAAGCTCCCGTGTTTATCTTGGGCTCGGTGGCAGCGGTAGTGAATGGGATAGTATTTCCCATGTTTGGCCTTCTTCTTTCAAGCATCCTGGGAGTTTTCTATAACCCCGACCGAAACGAGCTGCGCAAAGGTGCTAACTTCTGGGCTTCGATGTTCGTCGTTCTCGCGTGCGCATGCTTTATTATTATACCCTGCCAGATGGTCTCCTTTGCTTATGTTGGCCAGAATTTGATCCGACGTATACGCTACCTCACCTTTAAAACAGTTCTTCGACAAGAGATTGGCTGGTTCGATGCCCGTGAGAACTCGAGGTAAGATTTGCAAGCATCTTCTCGCTGACTTCAAGTTCTATGCAGCGGGGCTATAAGTTCCAGGCTATCAACTGATGCTGCTTATGTGCGAGGAATGGTGGGCGACAGCTTGGCCTTGACCGTGCAAAACTTAGCAACAATCGCAGCCGGCTTGCTAATTGCGTTTTCTGCTACGTGGGAGTTGGCGCTCGTAATTTTTGCGCTGGTGCCTTTACTTAGCCTGCAAGGGATCATGCAAATCAAAGTTATGACCGGTTTCAGTGCCGATGCAAAGGTACGTTCCCTCTTTATGGACTAGAGATATTAAAGCAGTTCTTCTCTTGCCAGGTGATGTACGAGGAAGCTAGCCATGTGGCTGCGGATGCAATAAGCAGCATTCGAAGCGTGGCTTCCTTCTGTGCTGAAGAGAAAATGCTGAAGCTATACGAAGAGAAGTGTCGAAGACCTTTGAAGAACGGGATTCGCCTGGGACTTGTTAGCGGTGCAGGTTTTGGCTGCTCGAATGTGGTTATGTTTTCGTCCTACGGCCTTAGCTTTTGGTATGGTGCTCAACTTGTGAAAGACAGAAAGACAACGTTTCAGAAAGTTTTCAAGGTAATGACATGGGTTCTTTACTGTTTCAGCAGACTCCTGTTCTCGTTTCAGGTCTTCTTTGCAATCACAATGTCTGCAATTGGAGTTTCGCATGCTGCTGGACTGGCGCCAGATCTCGGCAAGGTCAAGACTTCGGTCATTTCTATCTTCTCAATGCTTGACCGCAAGTCGAAAATCGATCCAGCAGATTTGCAAGGAAGCACTTTGGACATTCTGCATGGTGACGTCCAGTTTCAGCACGTAAGCTTTAAGTATCCCAGTCGGCCAGGTGTGCAAATATTTCGAGATTTCACACTGTTTGTTGAGGCCGGAACGGTAAGATGTTGCATTTTGAGTTTTGCAATTTATTTGTCATGATAAAAAGACGTCTTACCTTTCAGACTGCAGCATTGGTTGGAGAGAGCGGTTGTGGAAAATCAACTGCAATCTCTCTTATCCAAAGGTTTTATGATCCTGATTGCGGAAAGATCTTCATAGATGGCGTGGACATAAGGTCGCTCCAACTCAGATGGTTGAGGCAGCAGATGGCATTGGTTGGACAGGAGCCAGTACTTTTCTCTGGGACGCTGGGCTCAAATATAGGCTACGGAAAGGATGGAGTCTCAGATGACGAGATCAAAGACGCTGCGATCTCTGCGAACGCTTACAAGTTTATAATGGATCTTCCCGACGGATTTGACACAGAAGTTGGCGAGCGTGGTACTCAGCTGTCGGGAGGCCAGAAGCAAAGGATCGCCATAGCAAGAGCCATCGTGAAGAACCCGAAGATATTGCTCCTAGACGAAGCAACCAGCGCTCTGGATGCTGAATCGGAGCGCCTAGTGCAAGAGGCGCTCAATCTCGTGATGCAGAACCGGACCGTGGTCGTCGTGGCTCACAGGCTCTCCACCATTGTCAACGCAGACGTTATTTCGGTGATGAAGAACGGGGTGGTGGCAGAACAGGGCAGACACAAGGAGCTGCTCCAGATTGAAAACGGGGTGTACTCGCTGCTGGTGAAGCTACACGTTCGAAGCTGAGAGAAGACCACCGAAGCTGGCAGAGGAAAACGTCGCTTGACTGGTAAGGCCTTTGCTTTTCTTTCTAATCTTCCACAACTTCCAGATACATGAGAATCTTGGCCGTTTGCCACATTCATTTTGTGCGTTCTACGAAAGACAAAAACCAAAACGGTTTAAACGAGAAGTCGGTGGGAGCCGTCCAACTCGAAGCACACAAGCGATCAAACTCTCCTGGCAGGGAAGGAAATATGGTGCCGTGAGAGATCCCCGTCCAGTCTTCGAATCAAGTCCGAATCAAGTCCAAGTGGAAGTGATACGCTACGTACAAATAATGGCTTTCGAGAGCTACGAGCTGACTAGCAGACGAGTGGAAGATGTGGATGATGACGATGACGACGAAGTCGCAGTAGTGCCAGTGGCAGCAGTGGTCACATCCGAAGCAGCACCAGCAGCAAGAGGAATGCAAGCGCGCTCGGTGATGCGCTGCATGTTGATCTTGAGGCTCCGCTCCACCAGCCTGTTTACCGCGCGTCGCTCCTCCGAGTAGAGCTCTCGTTCGAGAAGCTGCCGCCGCTGCTGGTGCTCGTGCTGCTGGTGCTGCTCATCGTCTCCCTCGCCCTCCTGGAGCAGCAGGCAGCAGTAGGAATTCGTCGACGAGGAGTTGTCATCGTCGGCCGCCGCCAGGCACTGGAGAGTCCGAGACGCGCGGTCCTGGACGGCCGGGCTGCCAATGAGAACGAGCTCGAGCAGCATTGACGAGCATCCCGCGCGGCACATGGCGCGGCGCTGCGACTGGCTGCACTGGGCCAGGACCATGACCACGTATACCGCGCGTTCGATGAGGCCGCGGGTGACGGTACCGCCGACGCCGCCGCGGTACGGGCTGGCGACACTCGGACAGTATCCACAGCGGCCCCAGTTGAGAATGTCGGTGAAGACGAGACACGAGCTCTCCACCCGCGCCATTGCCCGGCGGCCGGGGGACGTGGACACGAGGTTGGCGGCGGTAGCTACCGCGCGGCTGCACAGCTCGGGCTCGTACGCCGCCGACAGCACGGCGGGTACCGCGGCGGCGGCGCACAGCACGGGCGCGTTGGTCGGGCAGAGGGAGAGGTTGTAGAGCGCGGCCATGGCGTCGCGGCGGGCCTGGTCGGTGGAGGAGCTGTCGAGGACGGTGGCGACGAGGCTGGCGCCGGCGCCCGGGGAGGCGGCGATGGCGAGCTTGTTGGCGTCGAGGGCGCTGAGGCTGAGCAGCGCCGCCACCGAGGATTCCAGGAGCTGCATTTGGATGTGGGAGCCAGGGTGGCTCTTGGCAAGGCGGAGGATCTTTGGGATGGCTCCCGCCGCCACGATCGCCGCCTTGTTCCTGCGAGAGTAACGTAAGGATCGAGCTTTTGTCAAGCGAGGGACTTACTGATCGTTCCGGACGGAGAGATTGAGCAGCGCCGCCAGGCCCGCCGCCGCCGCCGCGGTGTTGAGCGAGTCGAGCATCGCGACGAGCGGCGGGATGGCGCCCATGAGCGCCAGCGTCGTGCGGGCGTCGCCGTCCCGGCGGCACGCCGCGCGGATGTCCGCCGCCGCGCTGGTTTGCTCCTCTATGTCGCCCGATTGGAGGCGGCGGACCATCTCCATCCTCCGCCACATCTCCGCCTTCTTTCGATCCTTTTGCTGCTGCTGGTGCCGATCATCCTCTTGTTCTTCCTCGGAGAAACGAAAGCTTTTCTTCTCCTCCTCTCCATCTTCGTGATGATTGCCTGGAAGCTTTACGAGTTGGCGCTCTTGCGGGAAAGTTCTTCGTTTGCTTGCGTTGCTTGTGGTGGTGGTGGTGGCGGCGGCGGTGGCGGCGTTCTTGTTCTTGCTCTTGCTCCTGGTGTAGCAGCGATGGGAGTTTGCCGTGAGCGCCGAGAGCTCGACGTGGAGCTGCTTGCAGCGGAAGACGTCGTAGACGCTGAACCATCTCTTGTCGATGGGATTGGGAGATGCGGAAGGAGAATTCGTGGTTGTGCTCGTCGTGCTGGTGGTCGACGATGGCGAGGGCGCGATGATGTCCGGCTTCCTCTTCTTCTTCTTCTTCTTGGCACCAGTGTTGTTGTTGGTCTTTGATCTGGCGTCGCTGCTCTTGAGAATTTCCCGGCCTACTACAGTCAACTCCCTGGTGGGCTCGCTTCTCATACCCGGCGATTCAATCCCTTGGAGCAGCTCCATCCATCCATTCCAGGATTCATACCTGTGGAAGCTCGCGAAGATTTTCCATTCCCGGGAAGAAGAAGAAGAAGAAAAAACCAACAAGTTAAATGTGTGTCTTGCTGCGCAACTTATAAAGCGGAATCGCTCTCGATCTTGATCCGGTTGGCTTCAGCTGAAGCACGCCCCCGTTCTAAATCCGTGACGAGGACAGGCACAAACAAACCAGCTGCTGCGAGGCGAGGGAAGTCAAGCGCAGGAGTGAGATTTTTTTGGATTTGGGAAGAGAGAGATCAACAGAGCAGAGTGGCAGGCCAGTGAGAGGTGATGAATTATTGCTTGTCACTGCTGCTGCGGCTGCTGGGCTGCTGCTCATCTCCAACGAAAAGAAATCAATGCAGGAGCGAGCCAACAGCTGCATTCAATCGCCCAGGTTAAAGTGTTCTCTCCTCCCGTCTTGTTGCTTCTTTTCCCTGTGTGTTTGTGTGACGCTGACTTCTCGCTAGGAGTCTGCTACAGAGAGATTATAATATACTCGTGCGTGATCAGATCAGAGTTCCTCCTTTTTTTTTTTTGCATAGCCTGTAGTAGATCAGCACAGGGGGCGATTCGTTCGTCAGGTAGCGAGTTATAGAAAGCGAGTTCGTCGTCTCGATCAACTTAACACCGACCCCGCGAGCAAAACTAGGAAGATCCAGGAAAGGGAGTCCCCCCCCCTCTCTCTCTCTCTCTCTCTCTCTCTCTCTCGCTGCTGCCAATGGATTGACCCCTCGGGTTGGGGGTGGAACTTGCGAAGCGTGTATTCATTTTGGCATTGTCTTCTTCCCCAATCCTCCCCCTGCGATGCGACCAACCTTCCATTAAATGCGAGACCTTCCCCGCGTTTTTCCATGGCCAGTCAACGGTAGTCCACTCCAGTCAAGGTCAACAAGCTTTTCCGAAAAGAACAGCTGTGTTTTCTCTCGCGCTGCCTAGATTCGCGCACAAACAAAAGGCATATAATACAGAAGAAAACAACCTTTGATCCTTTTTGGAGTGAGTCGGATCGATTCTTCTCTTCTTTGTTTTCCTTCTTTCCATCCCGCAGCTTTTAGCTTGCTTCCAAGGTGGTAAAAGCAGCGCATCTGTGCGAGCTCTACTCGCCCAGAGAGGAAGCCTCAAGATTCAAGAGGAAGGCGAAGAGATCCTGTAGAGCGGCGTACAACTTACAGCAAAGATTCCGGCTGATAATGTGAGCACATGGAGCTCCTGCGCGAGGGACAGTCGCGTGGAGCTAGCCATTTTCGCGTTTGTGCGTCCAGCCAGGCACAGAGATCTAGCGAGAGAACAAAGTTAGATCACTTAGCACCACGCGAAAGCCTTACAAGCTAAGAAAAAGATACATCATCACCACTCACCGAGCACCACCGCCTGAAACGCGTCCAAATGACTCGGCCTCCCTGATGCCCACGTAAAAAAGTAAGTTCCAGACTCATGATCAATGATCCTCGGGAACTGTTTTATACAGAAACTTCGAGTACCTGGTATGCACTCCTTGGAATTGTCTGCGTAAATCGCGAGCCACCACGATCCTTCCAACAAGTTTTAAAGCCGGTGCCCGCGTGTTATCCTGTAACATGCGATTAGATAGATGTTTTTCCAATCTTTGGTTGTGAAACGCTAATATAAAAAGGCCATGGCAGCCGCAATCACCCATAGAAAACGCGAAAATCGCTGCCTTGCTGCCATTGCCAACAAAGTGAAGACAAAACATCGACAGTCCACGTACCATTTTATAGACACCGTAGCCAACGTCGCTTAGAAAACCATATCGAGGAGCGCTGCCTGGAAGGAGGCACTAGAAAACATTGTTGAAGCTGAGGCCACTCGGTGACTCGATTTCTACGATATGTTCGTCGTCCGACGCGTCACTGGAATCTCTGGAAGCGGCGCGGTCGTTTCGTCGGTTTTGAGTCCGCAGGGGTGCAAGATGCGCGGAAACTGGAATGTTTGGCAAGCTGGCCAGTTGAGTTTCATGTAGTGATAGATTTGCAGCTGGCTTTTCTTGTTGTTGCTCTGGCCGGATTTGACTAGTGCTGCTTTTCTTTCGTTGAATATTTGGCTGTTCCACATGAAAAAAGAAGAATAAACAACAGAAACTATTAAAATGCACTTGTAAGTACCTGAAAGAAAGTTGCGAAACTCCGAGCTCTCCCCGACCTTGGTTTCCGATCAAAACTGCTCATTCTAGCTCGCTGAATGAAGCTATCACGTCCCAAGCTAGAACGGCGAGGAAGCAGCGACATGGAAGACGTCGCGGTAAACAAATCGCATCTAACAATGATCAGGCGTGATCGTGCCACGACGTCAAGAACACTTCCATAGTAACTTCCATCTGAAAACCGCAAAACGTTTAGATATGTGAAAGAATGAACGCATGTCGTGTTACCAGATGCCTGCAAACTAGCACGATGCGGACAGACAACAGCCGAAGGGGCAGCTATAATCTCGTCGCTTTCGTCTCTTTTGATAAATCCATCAACGAGCAAAGCTGTTTCACCAGGCCGAAGCTCGACAACCTCACCTCGGAGGCAGGATACTGTGGTACTAGAGCTTTCAAACACCAATCGCAGTTCATGCATTGCGAGCAACTCAAATGTCTCGGGAAGAATTATCTTTGATATCGCAAGTGTACTTTCCTGCAGACAAAAGCTTTGAAATGGCACCAAGAAAATAGAGGAAACAAAGAGTGTACCTGCCAAAAGTAGTGTTCTAGCCTTGGCTCGGATCGACAAATTGAAAGCACTTTGGATGCCTCCAGAAAAAAACACTGAACCACAGAATCCGCAGTCAACTCGCACAAGTAAGGCATCCCCATGAGAACTTCATAGAGACCCAGCGTGCTCCCATGGGCAAAAACTGGATGAAGAGAGCGGTTCTTGTCCAAGTTTCGCTTGCTCCACTGTGCAAACACAAAATGCTCGTGAGACGAGGAGTGAAGAACTTAACGTACTTTGACAACTCCGTTTGCTATAAGCCACAGGCCATCCGCTCGCGAGCCTTCTTCGCAAATAACATTACCACGTAGTTTCAAGCACTGCTTCGCACAGCTCACAAGTTGCGCCTGGATGTGATCGGGGAGGGCAGCAATGAAAGGATGATCACGCAAAACCTGAGAGCCTTTGGGTATCTTTACAGTAGGAGGTTTTCTTAGTAGTTTTTTTAGCTCTAGCTGCAATAAAACGTAATCTGTCAAGTTACTCCAGAAAGCTTGGTACCTTACCTGAATAGCATCACTGAGCTGCACAGTTTCCTTCTCTTCCAGCAGGCCTGATTTTTCCAGGCTTCTGATATAGTGATGGAGGCGTACTAGAATTGCATGTACAACTTGCTTAGTTTTAACCACTCGTAACACCTGCATTGCAATACTTACTTAATATGCAAGTTCATAAGAACAAGAGGAAAAGCTGTGACATACCTGTGAAAATGTAAGTCGGATGTCCTCTAGAAATCGTTTAGCTTCCAGCTCCTCGTCCTCGCTTTCTTTTATAACAGCTTTTGTTACCTCGGTTTCACCTGAAAGGCAGAGCTGCTGATGTAGGGAAATTTCAACTGTAATGCAGGAGCTTACCAATAAAATCCCGAATATGGCGCCGAACATATACATGCGCACGTAAAAATGCTGCGGTGACATAGCACCCAAGTTCTAGCCTCTCTACTACCAGATAGTGCACTAGTTTCTGTGGAAAGAAGGGGCGTTTGCTTTGCAAGAGCTTTAAGTATTTCGGAATGTGAACGTATGGCCGCAAACCAGTCCAATCCGAAAGCTCCTCCTGCTTGGCGACTCCGTCGAGAGCTTCGTCTACGGATTGCATTAGCAACAATGCAGCATTCTCCGAAATCCTCCCTTCCTCTAGCATCTGCCAATATGCAGCTTGTACTCCTGTGTCACAGTTGTAACTGGTCACATCCAAAAGGAGTTGAATTGGCGGTGCATACCGTTTAGAAATCGCAAGCGCGTATCTTGCAATTGTATACTCCGTGAATCCTCGACATTTGGCGCTAATCCATGGGGATGATGACCCCTCCCAAACTGGTTCAAGCAGCCAATGTACTTATATACAGTTGTCATGTCGGCAGGTCCGAGCTCCTCGTCTTCTCCAAGCTCTTCATACGCTTCAACCGCTTTCATATTCATATCATGCATGACATGCTCTAGTACAAGCCTCTACAAGTTCAGACCGTGAGAACGCGTCAGTGAATTGCAAAGAACGTAGCGTTTACCTTAGTATCCGTTGTCTTTTCCATGCGAAGGAACCTTAAGAGGAATTGTGTTGTAGTCCCGTTGATAGTAAGCGTAAGAAACACCACCCCACCCGTGAAAAATACAAACTAGAAAACCGAATAAGGATATCCATTGAGAAAAACAAACTATCAGCTAGCTAGCTAACCTTTGCTCGGGTGATCTCCGAGACGTTCCCAGAAACCTGCATAAACAACCTGAATTCAGCGAAGCACGACTACTTTAGGCACTTACATTGACAGAAAGTGATAGCGCTAGAGCAACAGCCCCTCGCAGACCAGCCCAAACAAGAACTGTTGCCTCCTTCAAACTTAGACCATATCCGTAGTATCTTAAACCAGGATACAGAACTACCACCACAAGAGCTCTTGACAGTTGGACAAAGAGGTAAAGAAGGACCAGATATCCCCAGTCTCGGGCTGGAAACAGCATTGAACCGCGAAGCTTAGTACGAGGAATTCCACCACTAGATAATAGATATCTACCTTCAATAAACGATTGACTTCGTAGGATGTTCTCGGCAATGACAACGCCGCTGCGCAAGAACCGGGACGATGTAAACATTTGTCTTGCTGAGAAACACACTTACCTTAGCAAGAAGATGATAGTGTTGGCAAAATAAGCGACCATGTTCCTGAAAGCTAGTTTATTTAGTTCCTATTCTCAGCGGCTGATATACACACTGTACCAAAAGTGATGCATAGCTTGTTGACTTTCACCTCTAAAAGCAGTCCTGGCAAAAGCTGCAAGAAACCTTGAAAGCAAAGGCATTATGAGCTTCAACACGGGAATCTTACATGCCAACTGTCATGACGGCCAAGACACCGGAAACTTCCGCCACAGATTGTGCCTAGTACAAGAAGTTGTTACAAATATAGCCTCAAAGCCTCTCAGGTAAATATCTTACTAGAAAGAAAGCGAAGTAGCTTGCTGCGAATGTCAATGTAATCTCCATAACAGTATCGTTGAATATAAATCCCAGCCATAGTACCGTTATCATCCCAATAATCAAACCCAGTCCCAAGCTGCGAGCAAAACTCCAGCCAAATCAATTGAATCCGAAAGAGAGAGTAAGAGAAGTAAAAATCCTTACGCAAGAAGTGAGACTTTAGACAGGAACTCGATCACATCGCCTGGAGAGAAATGCTTGCCCATTGCCATCTGATGAAACAGCTCAAACACAACCATTGCAGTCCTGCAGCACATGAAACGACTATCACACATGTATAATTTGACACCAAGTTTCACGCACCCGTCGTTCATCAACGCTTCTCCATCGATGATGGTGTTGAGCTTCTTACTAGCTCCAAGGTCCTTGAGCAAGGCCACCACAGCCACGGGATCTGTAGCGCTTAGCAAGCCTCCCAAGAGCAAGGAAATGCTCCAGTTCCATCCATACGGAAACACACACTGGCAAACAGGAGAGCCAAATATACACTTTAGTTCCAAACAGGCTGAACTTACGTGATGCACGAGGGCGAGACAAAGAGTCGATATGATCACTCCAGGGACCGCGAGCAACAACATCTGGATTATACATCTCTGTCCGCATGACCAGAAGAATCAGGACACTAGCGAAGCATTACTTGAAACCAGTACCTTTATTTGGTGGAACTCCATGGAGAAAGAACTATCGAAGAGGAGAGCAGGCAAAAACACGAACAGTATGAGGTTTGGATTGATCTTGGACCCTGAAAACATTTTATCTCGCGGGAATTTGTGACACGAGAGCTGGAGAGAGAGTTTACTTACACATTCGTATACTCTGACCAAGTGCTCCAAGGCCACGATGAGTTCCATGCTCTGGAAATTGGGACAAAAGATAGCATAAACAGTGAGAAGGAGAGAAAAATAAACGTACCGAGAGAACCAAGTCCGATTCCAATGACTAGCAAAACAACAGTGTAGGGAACTTTTATCTTGCCGACCATCTGGCGAGAGAGCGTCCCAATAAAGAACGCTACAACCACGAAGAGAATTGCAATCTCTGGACCCTCTCCTCCATGATCGCTTTGATCATCCTGCGAAGCCATAGCCTTTGCTAGAAGAAAACGAGGACGGGGACTCGTGGTGCCGCTAGATTTTTAAGCACCAATGGTCAACGATGGAGAAATCCTCACGTTCCCAGCTACTGTGCCGCTGTCACCGTATTGGCGCGATCGCTCGAGACGATGGATCGATATATTATTTTGTGGAAATCTAGAATCGATAGGATTCCTCGTCCGGCCTGCCCTATCTCACCGTTGAATCGAAAACTAAAGATTAGGGATGACGATCGATAAGAATGCGAGGGACAAGGATCCCTTTTAAAACGTTAAAATTTCATGACCACAGGCAAGTGACAACTACGTGCCAGAAGTCGCGGTTTGGCGTACGGCACGTTCCTTTCTCTCAAGACAATGCTTGCACCACCGAAGAACGACCTTCTGCAAGCACGCATCATTGACCAATCAACCAATAGCACCGGAAAAAAGAGGCTATAAGGGGGAAAGTGATCTTCAATGCTCTCTCCAGCGACGTGGTTTTTCCCGTGCTACAACCGACGTCCTCTCCTCCTGCATATGTTACTTCTTACAGCTTTGACGAAACTATGAAATACATTACCGGTAAGACGAGTCTTTTTGTATCTGACGGATCATGGTTAGCCACTCTTCTTAGCTCGTGTTTTCTGTGTCTGTTGATCAAGCTCTGAATCAGCAAAGAGAAGATAGATCATCCATTACCAATTTTATTTCGCTGAATAGGCGCATAAGCGAAGCCGACGAAGCCTGAGAGAAAAAAAAAGGATTCTTTGAGGAAAAAAAAAAAGAAAGAAAGAAAAGTTTTGTGGCCGCACCTCAAGGACGGACATGTTTTCTACTGTCCCGTGAATAATCACGGAACTCAGCCACGAATATGTGTTTTTGCCATCACTAGGAAATTCTTTTTCTCGTCGCAAATCATCTGCAAGAGCAGCGTTAACATGCATTGATATAAGTAACAAAACGCAGGACTACCTCTAGGCACGAGCATTGCGCTCATGTCTTTGACAGGAACCGGGCAGCTTTCATGGCCAAGCTTGCGCCGTTGTCGACCTTCAGCAAAAGAAGAAAGAGTAAAGAGAAAGTAGTCAAGATTGAACAGAGGTACCTCTTGCCTGCTCGAACTTCCGATTTGCTGCAACACAGCCTGTAAGAAGCGAACATGATCGATGGTTTTCTCAAGAAGTGCGTCGATGCTACACTGATCAGCAGACATTTATGAGCAGTTGAAAAAAGATACGTAGACAAAAAGAGAAAAAATCATACCTTTTCTGCGTTTGGAACAATGCCTCTGAGCTCCTTCACTCGGTCTAGAATTTGCGGCCTGCCCCTTGATTGTGGTTTTCCTTCTTCTTGAGGCCTAGCTCGCTTGACACCAGTCGGCTGCTGCTCATCTTTCTGTAGTGGTGATGGCGACGACGAGAATAGCATACTTGAAACAAAGTCTGAGCTTGCACCAAGCGCATGATCCCGCGCAACAGACAAGTTCATATCGTCTGCCATCGCTTGCGTTTCAATGCCTGCTTCTGGAACCACCTTTGGCAAATCTTCTTCTCGGTAATCGTTACTATCTTTTGGCAGCAGAGCGAAGAATTGGTCGATGTCTTCAACACCTCTGGGCATTAGACTGTCAAACCCGCGGTCGTGAAATGCATCTGCTGGGAGTAGCAAGCTGTCGAGATCAGGAAGCTCAGTTGCACTACCGGAGCTTCCTACACCATGAGCTTCATCTGTACTTTCTTCCGTATTAGAATATGAGAGTGTAGTAGTCGGTGAAGTTCCATCATGCCGAGCCTCACAAGGAAAACCAACGCCCCCAAAGCTGCTGCAAGCTTCATTCGTTCCTCTCGATCTATGACGGGCTTGATCCAGAATCGTTGTCCCGGTGGATAGAAACATAGCAGGAGAACTTCCATCACAAACGTTCTTCGGACCTGCTAACAAGTTTTCCATGTCTCTTAAGTTTGACGCCGCAACACCTGCATTCATGAAGAGATTTCCACCAGAAACCTGTGATCTCGAAGAACAGCTGAACGGGAACGGTGGCTGATGTGTAAGAAGGTTTGGCGCCGGTGCTGCCGTAAGCGCCTGGATGGGAGTCATATACCGAAAAGCTCCTCCTTGAGTTGCTGCTTGGGCATTCACGTAGTCAGGGAAAAATGCTCCAGGCACCCTTTGAAGCGTGCAAAACATAGTCCTGACGTGCGAAACCATTTCCAAGTCTTCCATGATCTGCCAATAGACATCAAAAACGAAAAGAATGAAGTGAAAAGATTGCTCACTCTCTGCGTAGATCCCAGCTGAACAACACCCTGCGGCACGGATATAACAGCTATTGTCTGCAGGCATATTGCTATTCAGAAACGAAATGAGAGAAGGATCCTCCCAAGAACATGTAAACTCACTTGAATCCCTGCAGCAAATTGGCTCGCCCATCCAGCCGGGTACTGCTCATCAAACAGGTGGATCTTGTCAGTGATGAACAAGAACAAAAAAAACTTATAAAGAAGGCAAACCACAAAACAACAAGAAGAATGCGAAGACCTTTTCATGTAACGTTCCGTCCACTCGTCCAAAGACCCATTGGTGCTTCTGTGTGAAAGCCACACGACCAATTATCCTTGAAAAAAAATCGCACAATTAGAGCTCGCTGCTAAAAACGCAAAACAAGACAAAAAAAAATATCCTAGAGCAAGGTAATGCTCGTTACCCTTCGCCCAAGGAATAGACGTGGTAGCACATCTTGGCCACCGCCAAGCCAATCTGATCGTGAGAAAAAGAACTCGTCCCCGGAGCGCCAGAGTTTGCCGCTCGATCGAGAGGATTTCCTCCAGCAGCAGCGGCGGCGGCGGCGGCGGCGGCACTGGCGGCCGCCGCTGCGGAGTAATCGCAGTAGGCATCCTCCCAAGTAAGAACCCTGGCATCCATCGATCGCGAGGGAGAAATTCGCGAAACGTAGGCGATCGATAGCGATCCAAGCGAAATCCAAGAAACTTACATGCGATTGCGGCGCTTGAGGCGCCAGAACACCGCGTAGCACCAGCCGCTCTTGCCGCACAGGCTGCGCAAGCTCTGCTGGAGAAGCATCGCTCACACGAGGAGAAGAGATCGAGCGCCAACGCCATATCTATCTTCCCTATCCCTCCTTTTATACTCGCATAAAAAAATAAAAACAAAAAATCCAGCGATGGGGTTGACCACAGGGTAAAATATAGTCAGGTGGCTTTGACACTCACTACTAGCTTAGTTTATCAACTGACGAGCAAACTTTTTTTATTCTCAAAAATTTTCTTCCCGCAAAAACTAGCTAATAAGCAGCACGAACAAAGACCTGCAAAGACAATGGAGACGATCGATCACGACTGTGATAGAGAAAAGCGAAGAAGAGAGCTCTCTCACCATGGTAGCGCCTAGAACAACGAGAAGCGCCACTCCAATGGCCGCTATGATCTGCCAGTGATCCTGGAGCGAGCGCTTCTTCCTCAGCTGGAGCTTCACCGGGGTGTTCTTGGCCGGTTTCTTCCCGCGGCGTGTCACGCTCGATGGCTTCTTCTCCTCAGGCGATGGCTTCTCGCCGTTCTCGGCAGCCACGGGCGGTTCCAAGTTTTCCTTTTCCTGCTCGGAGGGCGAATCGGCGCCTTCTCCGGCTTGGTCTGTGGCGGAAGTTTTCTTCCGGAGTCTCTTCTCCCTTTCCTGCAATGGAGGAGAGCTTGAAGTCAGACAAGAGTGGGGAGAGAGACTTGACGAACCTTTTCCCTGCGTTGGAGTTCCTTCTCGATCCGGGCCTGGGCCTTGGCTTGCTTCTTCTCAGCTTGCCTCTTCTTCCTGGCCTCGGCTTCCTTCGCCTTTTGAATCTCCACCTCCCTTCGCTCGAGCTGTTTCGCCAGCTCCGAGATTGCTGCTCGCTCCGCCTCCACCTCATCCTCGGCTTCCACGACATTCTCGCTCTCCTCAGAGACAGGCTTGGCTTTGGTTCCAGCTTCCTTGGCTTCCTTGGCATCGGACTTCTGCTTCGTTTTCGCAGCAGTCTTCGATGGCTCAGCCTTGACTTCAAGTGTTGGCTTCGGCGCTTCCTTCTCTTCTACTACAGGTGCCGGTGCAGCAACGGGAGGTTCATCTTTCGGGAGCTCATACGGTTGTTCGTTAGGTCCTAGCGACCTGCCGTCCGGGGTTGCCAAGCGCCTGATTGTACTCCGGAGATTGTTCTTCATATACTCCGACCGGAAGGAGGTATCGTTGTTCCAAAGTTCCATCACGCGCTCCACCTGGTGAAAAATGTCAAAAACAAATGACACTTCAACTTCACCAGACCTGGGCGGAGCAATATTCTTTCAAGGCCCCTGTATCTTTGGCGTACGCAAGCTGCTTGGCCGTGTTGATATCCCGCCTGTTTTGGTGGAAATCGTTGTTCTGCATGGACAACAACACCGTTTAGCCTTGAAATCAACACTGGTTTATCCAACAGCCGCACCTTAGCATACTCTTGCGCTGACAAACTTCTACGCTCGTTGAAGACTTCGTCAATAATTTCATCAAGCGCCTTCCTCTGAGACGAAAGAATCTTAATCTCCTCCGTAAGGGCCGAAACCCTGTCTTCCAACGGTTTTACTTTGGACCACGCCAGGTTCTTTTTCTTTGACAATTCTTCAATCTCCTCGTTCAGTGACTACGCCACAATTCAAAATCCTGTTAGCCTGGACACTAAGTTACATGAAAAGCATTACCTTGAGTCGCGTTTGATAGCCTTGCTTGGCATCCTGTTTGGAAGCACGAAAGCTTGCATTGATAATTACCTGCTCGCGAGTGGCTTTAAGAGCCTGAATCTCGCGAATAATCTGTTTCTCTTCTCGTAAAGTTAACGGACGATCAAGCTGCTGTAAGTCATGCTCTAAGCCCGCAAGCTGAAACTCATTAGCAATTGGTCAGTAAACTATCCACAAGCATAGTGGGAGCTTCACCTTTGCATCGAGATCTTCCTCCGATCTACAAACATTAGACATACCCGCATAAGGCAACTCATTGATTTTCTTAAGCTCCGCGGCCACAGGCTTGCTCTCTTCTATTTTCTCCTGGAGCTCGCCTCGGCACTCCCTAAAATAATTTCGAGGCTCGACAAGCTTGTCAAGCAGTTCCTGTTTCTCCGCCTGCAAACAAAGAAAGAAAACAGTGAGAGTTGTTCTTCCTTTTCTCTCTTTGGAACTAGGGAGTGAAGAACTTACTCTCTTTTGCTGGAGCTTTGCGATAAGAGAATTTTTCTTCTCAATCTTATCCTTAACTTGTGCGTCCGTCGTCGTCCTAAAATCCACTAGATTGTCCCCACGTTTCGGAATTCTCACGAGGTAATACGTGAACACCGATTTTGTCGTGGGAGCTACTGCGGCCACTCCCCCGGGCGGATCACAGGAAGCAAATCCTTGCTCCGGCCATTCCGAGCTCGCCTCGCTGGGAGTAGCCCCGCCCACAATCGGAGCCTTCGCTATATTCTCGTCATTGTCGCGCTGCACAGCTTCCTCGAGAATCCCACTCTCCGCGTGATCCTCGATCCCATCGGCAGCGTCATCGACCGAGGAGGGTGCTTCGTCTTCCACCGCCTGGTGATTCTCCTCCTCGGTATCGGCCGCCGCCACGGCATGCAATTTCTCGGCGGTGTCCGCCGCGATCGCCTCCGACACTGCTCCCATGGCCGAGAAAGAGATCCAAATCTTGATCTTAGGTCCCTAGAGCATCCGAAAGGGTGAAGGCCACCGAGATTCTCTCCCTTTCTTGCGAAATCTTCCTTAGATCTGCGAAAATCTGCTGTGGCGCTGCTAGCGCTCGGGATTCGAGCTACGAGGAAGACGAAATTACTTACCAAAAATTTTCCCCAAGATTGGATCCAGAACGCGGCACTTGCGAACTGTTCACCCAAAAAAGCCTAAAACCTTCCCTGACCAAATGGGCTTTTAACACCACTTTTAACGCCAAAAGGGATAAACACGGCCCGTCCGATCGGCCAAGTTTAGGGCAGAGAATCCCGTCCGTCCGATGCAGGAAAAATCCAACGGTCATCGCAGGGTCCCACGTGAAAAATACGAAAGTCAAGACTATGCCACGTGGCAAGCCCTAGTTTAGGGTACAATGGAGGTTTAGGGCTTGCGGCGAGGAGGGATGGGCAAGAAGAAGAAATTCATCGACAAGAAGAAATCCGCCACATTCGCGCTGCTCTACCGGGAATCTGGCGATGGCGAGGAGATTGGGGGTGAGCGAGTGTACACGCGAGTGGACGGCAATACCGCGATCCGGTTGCCAGGTTTCGAGCAAGACGACGACGATGATTCCAGGTTTGCTGATGCTGAGGAGGAAGAAGAAGAAGGGGAATTGGAGGCGGCAGTGGCGAAGATGGAGATTACTCCGCAGGGATTGCCGGAGCATGTAAGGAGAGAGCTCGTGGAGATGGGATTTCCAGACGATGGCTACAATTACATGAAACATATGAGGAGCATTGGTGCTGGAGGCGGTAGCGTCTTTGTTCCCACGACCAGTGAGACGAGTAATGTTCTTCCAGCCGATTTTAAGGTATGATTTTTTCTTTCTTCCTTCGCTTGCGATCCAATAGAGTTTCGTTCTTCAGGCTTATGATGCTTCCAAAGTTCCTGTCAAGGAAGCGGTTGCGGACGAATCTGCCAGTAACACGATCAATCTCAGGCAGATTCGAAGTGCGTTTGTCAAGGTGGGAGGCTTGGATCCCGAAGTTGCTGCTGTTCTCGAGGAGAGTGATTTCTCAGACGATGATGGGGACGAGTCCGATGGTTTGCAAGACGATTTTATCCTCATTGCAAACAAGGGGGTGGAGGAAGAGGCCAAAGCCGAAACTTCCAACAGGAAGGATTTGCCACCCGTGAAAAGGTTCGAAGAAGAGGAAGGGGAAGAAGTTCGGTCTTTCGCAGCGATGGCCATCACCGACGAGCGAGCGAATGGTATTCTCGACGAGCAGTTTGAAGTGGTAAATCTCTTGCCGCAACTTATCGAGATCGTGACTGACTATCGTTTCTTTTGCAGCTCACCTCGAAAGAATACGACTGTGATGTTGCGGACTTCGGGGACGACGATCCGCGAGCCAGAGGCCAGGCCCACATTTCGGAATTCACGTCGATCTTTGACGAGTTTCTTGCGGAAAATCCGAGTTTCGTGAGCAAGCCAGTTCAACCGACAGTGAAGCAAGAGAGACTGGAAGAAGTGCTAGTGGTGCAAGAGTACGAGGAGTTTGGAAAGAGCAGTGAGTCTGCGGAGGAAGAGCTGGAAACAGTCTGGGTTGACGAAAGCGACGCTGACAAAAAGGCGAAATGGGACTGTGAGACGATCGTGTCTACACTGTCGAACCTCGACAATCATCCATCGAGGATCGGAGCTCCAGTCGGCAAACGGGTCGACTTCTCCTCGATTCGCCAGGCGCAGCAGCAAGTGATTCGCATTGGCGGCAAGCAAAAGTTGCCACTGGATTTCGTGACGCCAAAGACGAGCGAAGTGTTGAGCGAGCGGAAGAAAGAGTCGGAGCCACACAAGAAAACCGCTCCGCTGCGACAAAAGGGAGAGAGCAAAGAGGAACACAAAGCTCGAAAGGTGAGTTTGATATTTTCTTTGGAACTTAGTTCTCAGTTGCTGCTTTGGTTTTGGCAGAGCGCAGTGAAAGACGAACGACGAGCTGCGAGGATGGCCAAAAAGGAGCTCAAAACTCGATTCAAAATTGAGTCACAGAGAGCACAGTCTGGGGCCGCAGTAGCAGCACCACCAACAATTCACCTCTAGGTAGCTTATTCTCGTTCGAATTCCATGACAAAATCGACCATATGCTCCACTTTTCTTCTTCGCTTTTTTCTTACAGGATCGGCTCTTTTCTATACTCCCTGAGAATGACAGGGACGCTCGTCGGTGGAACCTGCACAACCGGAAAACTCAGTCACTCAAACTTCTGTTTTCAATGATGCAACTCACCATCCCGTGCTCGGTGATGATCATCGAGACGTAGTCGGCAGGAGTTGCGTCATACCTGGAAGTAACGCAATATGAAGAAAGGGAGAAACGAATCTCATTTGCGCACTCACGTTAGATTCAGCAACCGGAGATGCTCGCTCTCGTCCCAGCCAACAAGCTCGCGAAATTCCTTCCTCCCGGCAACTCCAACGAGAGCATCTGGATCGCCTGGAAGGAAGAACTGAGCTCAGACCCAAACCAAACAAAGCTTACCGAGCTCGTTGGAGCAAATGGAGTCGAGCTGGACTCTCTCGTGGAACTTGTACGTCTCGCAGCAGATCATGACGGGTACCCGGTAACCATGAGCGACCATTGCGGCCGCAGCAGTGCCGACTCTCGAATAAACAGTGCCGTTCGCTAGAATCGAAGCAGCTCCCAGGAAAACCTTCGTCACCTCTTGCATGATGTAAGTGACAGCGTTGATGTGCGTGTACGTGCACTTCAGCCCCTGGGCCAGAAGGCTGCGAAGAAGAATTCGTCCCTCGAGCCTGGGCCTGGAATCCACGACCACCACCCGGAACTTCTTCCCAATGCTGTGCGCGTGAGAGAGAACCATCTCGACGACGCACGAGAAGCCGTGCGTGAGAACCACGTCCCCGTCGATGATCTTCGTCACTGCGTGCTTCACTATCTCCTTGTCGGCCAGAATGATCTTCTCCTGAGCAAACGTCTCCAGGTGAGAGACGAGGCTCGACTTTGCCTCCGCCTCTGTGAGCGTATCCCGCAGCTTCCCGATCTTCAACTTGAACGATCGTATCGCGTTTCCCATGCTGATCGAGAGCGGCCGGCATGTACTGAGAAACGAGACGTGGCTGTTGATCTTGGCTGTGAGATCTCGAGACATGACCTTTTGAGGCGGTGTTGTGTAGTCTCGGATCATCTCCTTGAAGGCCTCCAGCATCGCAACGCACCTCGCATTTCCGCCGACGATGTCCCACGTCAAGTACTTCAGTCCAACCTGCAACGCTTTGCGTTTTAGCCGACGAAGGAAAAGAAGAAAGAAAGCTAGCCTGATACACAGCCGGGTGTATATGCATCGTATCATTCTGGAGGTACTTCTCTTCCAGCGCTTGGAGCTGTGTAGGCGGCACAAACTGTGGAAGATGCCGGAAGAGCTCTACTCGATGCTTGGTCTCGGTGGTTTGTTCCACAATTGCTCGTCGCCTCGCTTTCGCCACCTTTTGCTCGTCATCGAACTGCAGCCTCGGAGCCGGGGCATCCTTCCTTTTGTCCTTCTCCGGAACGACTACTTCCTTCTTCTTGTCCTTCTCGCCGCTCTTGTCCACGGGCTTCTTGTCAACTCCTTTCTTTTCGTTGCTGCCATCTTTCTTCTGCGGTGGTGGCTTGGCCTTTGCTACGGCCGCTGTGCTAAACACGGGTTAGTCCCAGCTTCCCACATACCAGGCATGAAGAAGGTTTGATTACCAGAAGCTCTGGCCGCTTCTTTCGCTGCTCGCTGAGACTCTTGCAAAGCCCGCCTCTCCGCCTTGGACGTCCGATCCTTGAGTTTCCTTTGCCGTGCATCGTTCTCTGGTCCTGGAAAACACTTTCGATCATCCCAAAAGTTCCTCGAGAAAAAGGCTACCTTCGTTGTTGTTGATCGCTGGAACTTCCACTCGCTCACTGATAACGTCGGCTGTGCTCTCATTCTCCTTCTCCGGCACCGGAAGCTCATACTTGCTTCTCTCGAGACTCATCTCCATCATGCTGCTATTCAACTCTGCCACCATCGTGGGAGAGAGGTCTCCAATCTCGGCCTTCTCGCTGCTAGCCTTCCCATACGAGCTATTCGGGCTCCCCGCAAGAACTCCCTCTCCACCGGGGTTATAACTCCCCAGTGGCATTTCATCCTCGGCATCGAAATTCCGGGGCGGCAGGGGCGGAGAGCGCGGCGGGATTGGCACGGGAGCCGCGGGCTTTGGAGGAGAATGATCCGCCGCCGCCGGCACTGCTACGCGAGGCGCGGGCGGGATCATCACCGGCGCTGGCGAATCCGGGGCATTTACCTGCGCTGACGACGACGACACCCCCGCGGGGCCGTCCTGCTCGCCCGGCGTCACGAATCCAACCTGCCGGACCTTGGGATCGATCACCATCCGCCCTCGCCGGGCTCCTCCTCCACTCTCCATCGCTAAAACCCTTGCCCTATTTTTTTTTTCTTCTTCACTTCTTCAGGGGTTTAGGGTTCTTCATGGATTTATGATGCGGCGATCCGCCAATCCTAAATCCAGCAGCGCGATCGCGGGCGCGGCGAGCACAGCGCAATCGCTCAAGGCGGATTTCCTCAGCCGCATCGCAAAGTGGGCGTCGGCCGCGGTTCCTCCTCTCGGCGCTCTCTGGGGCCATCGATTGGCAGCGTCGTGCGAGAAAACGGGCGCTTCGATCAAGAACCAGGTCCAGTGCCAAAGGTACGCCCTCTTTCCCTCTTGCCTGGATCATGGAAAGGATTTTCCAGTGTGGTTTTCTTCTTCGATCTTGCAGTTGTTCCTTTTCCTTGCATGCTGGCTGATCGTCGTGCTTGCAGGCTGTGTCTACTTTAATCCAACCTTTTGATACAGGTGTGAGACGATCATCGCCAGCAGTGACGAGCTCTCCGCCGCCAAAAAAGCTGGTTTCCGGATTTGCAGCTACTGCGGTCACCACAACACACTCAAGAAATCCAAGCCGAGCTCCAACCCCGCTACCCCGGATCAGCAAACTTCTACCGCGAAGAAGAGGAAGAGGAAAAGCTGGTCGACGCTCAAGGACGTCGCGGCCACGCAGGGACAAAAGGTGATACGCTCCGCTGCCAAATCCTCGCCGAGGAGCGAAAAGGTCGCCAAGAAAAAGAGCAGGATGTCTTCTCCGAGCGTTGCTGTGACTCCGATTCCTGCAGAGGACGAGAAGAGAAGCAATGGAGACTCAAATCTTGTGGAGTACAGGGTGGTGGTGACGGATCACGAGAATGATGGCAATGGTGGCGAGGCCGACTTTAAGCTCTCGGCTCTCAGGAAGGTGGTCGAGTTTGATTCCAGTATGTGCGAGACTCAAGAAGTTATTGCCGAGTCCGGCCACGTGAAGGTGCTGTGCGTGGAGAACGTTGCTGCCGAGCTTGGCGAAGCTGTGATCACGACGGTAGAGCAACAGGAAACAAATCCAGATGAGAAGGGAAAAGATCGTGAAGTAGTCGAGTCCAGAGTGACGACTGCTGAGCTTGTGGAGGTGGACATGGTTACTGAGGCGGAGATGAGTGCTCCAATGGATACTGAGGCCGAGGTGATTGCTCCAATGGATACTGAGGCCGAGGTGGCCGCAAAGGACGCAAGCGAGAACGAGTTACCACCTTCGAAAGAAAAGGAGTTCCTTGTTTCAGTGGAACTGGTCTCTGCCAAGAACCAAGTGGAAGTGGACTCTATAGCACCTGTTGTGGAACCTCAGCTTGTCCCGAATCAAATGGAGGGCAGTGAGCTTCTTCCAAGAGAAGTCGAGATGCCTGCCTCAACGGACGCTGTGAAGGATTTGGATTTGAACAGCAAACCTGAGACGCTGGACGAGCTTCCCTCGCAGACAGAACTAGCCTCACAGACTGCTGGCTCGGAACTGGTTCCAGAGAAGGAGGAGCTGCCAGCTTCAGAGCAACTTGACAACTCTTCTTTAGAGCAGAAGGACCTTGAGGTGCCAGCTGAAGAAACTGAGCTGCCACAACGGGAAGAAGAAGACGAGCTGCCAGTTTCTGAAAACGCTGAAGAGAAGTCTACGATGGAGGAGCTTGAACCAGAGAAACCTGAAAACACGACTGCGGAGAATCCTGGAAACTCTACTACCATGGAAGAGGAAATGCGTGCTTCCGTACAAGAGGAACCTGACCTTCATACTTCGATGGAAGCTGAAGTGCCATCTGAGCGTGCTACTCCCATTGAACCTGAACGGCCGGACGACATAGCGATGGCAGCACCTGAGACTGCATTTGACAGCTCGCATCGACGTGATCCTGCCAAGATGAAGAGACGATTTGTGCGTCAACGTGATCCTGCTGGTGCCTTGAAGAGCATTGTCCGGTTTGTGAGCTTGAGTCTAGCTGTTACGTTTCTCTCATTCTTGGCATTTGCAGCTCGTATTCCCACGCGAGGACCGTTCGAACGGCATGCCATGACGCACACTTGGGTGCTATCAAGCGACAATGCAAGGTACAAGCATTGTTTTTCCTTGGCAGCGCACTTTCTCACCTCCAGATTGTTAAAGGCTCTGCTTGCTCGTAGCAAGAAGGAGAAGGAGAAAGCTGCATCAGAGAAGAAGCGTGCTGACGAACTCTTGTTAGCTCTCAAACTTTATAAATCCGCGCGGTAAGTCTCCCAAACTTCTCCGTGTGTCAAGCTAAGTTTTTTGCCCTGCAGGAAACCTCAACGCGGCCATGTAGCTAAGTTGGAGGGCAGCTTGCCGGTAAGTGACTAGTTTGGCACTTTCTTTGAACTTGCGTGACAATGGATCTCCAGGAACTGAGGAGCGAGATGAACAAAGTTTCGGACGAGGTGAGCACGCTGTCTGGCACAGTGACGCATCTCATCGCGGCAGTGGAAGAACTCAGATCGAAAATCGCTGGTATGAGTAGTAGTTGTTCATCCAAACTCAAGTAACTCGCGTTGCATTGATGTAGCTGAGAAGAATGCGTCTCCTCACGAAGCACACGATCGAGACGTCGAGCAGCAAGACACGGCGGCGGCAAGCTGGGAGGAAGATGGCGTGAAACCTCCCGAGAGATTGGAAGCTATTGATGCTGGGAACAAGGACGACAAAAAGAATCCCGGAGATGGCGACAAGATCTCCCAGAGGCTTGGAGTTTCAGGGCTCTCGCGAAAGATTTGCAAGAAGAACCTGAGGACCATCTCGCCAAGCTTACGTCTCAAAGGCAACGTCACGCTCACGAAGATTGGTAGACGATGGAAGATTGGCTCCCATTGATTGATCCAAGCAAGAGTTTTTTTGTTGTATATAATAAGCATTAAGGTGAAGCGTTGCTATATTAATCGATGTTAGGTTAACTAAGACACGTTTTGGTGGTTTCTTGTGCCACAAGTAACCGCGTCTCTCCAGAATCTTCCGGCGTCCGCGATACGCCCACGTGGCAGATATTACCCTCTCTCACTACGTGTCTCTTTCTGGCCCGCACAACTCTCCACGTGGATGCTTTCGTGTCCGGGCAGCATCCAGCCACGTCTGCCCGATAGCCGGAAAAGGTAGCTCATCGCCGGTGCATCCACGGCGAAGATTCTTCCAAATAACACCGCGCTTTTTGGGGCGTTGGATTAGCACGGTATAAATTAGGGTTCCGTGTGGCATCTTTAAATGCGCTAGGAAAGGATCACAAGAAAAGAGAAGAAGCAAGAGGCAATTGGATTTGGAGCTGCTAGCTTGGATTTCTAGAAGCTTTCTAGGGCAGCAGCGGCGAAGCTTCCAATCGGTGGGGGATATAATCCGCGATAGGGTTTCTTCTCGAGCTCTTCCCATCGATCCGATTTGAAAAAACGCGATTGCATGACTGTGAACGGCGCGGCCAGGAAGAAGATTGCTTCCCCTCCCAGCAATCTCTTGGTAAGAATCTCTCCGCGCTCCTCCTCCGCTCTTCTTTCTTTCGATTCCTCTCGAGATTGCTTTGCGCGCAAGCTAGGGAAGCACTCACATTTCGGCTTCCCTCTCCAGATATCTCATGAAATTGGCGATCGCCCGGAGGAGCAGCAGCAGCGGCGGCGGGCAGGGATCAAGCGGAAGCGCGCGCTCCAGGAGTCAGCTCCGATGATTCTTGCCAGGGTTTCATCCTCGCTCCCTCCAATGTCTGGGGGTGAATCGGACTCCCCGTCTAGCCGGGCGAAATTCACGCGCAGCCGGCGCAAGAACTCCACTGGGATGATGCATTCCATCCAGAACGGCGCGGCCGCCGACGCGCTGGCATCCTGGGCGTGCTCTCCAGCAGGATCATCGATCAAGAAGGCGCCGGCCAAGGGTTCCAAGAAGGGATGCATGAAGGGCAAGGGCGGGCCGGAGAATCCCCTGTGCCACTACCGTGGCGTGCGCCAGAGGACGTGGGGGAAATGGGTCGCGGAGATTCGAGAGCCCAATCGAGGATCGCGGCTGTGGCTGGGGACCTACGCCACTGCCGAGGAAGCGGCGATGGCCTACGACGATGCAGCGCGGGTGCTCTATGGATCGTGCGCGCGCCTCAATCTCCCAGTCTCTGGGAGCGCCGGCGGCCAGCGATCGCAAGCGATCAACTTGGATTCATCGCGGCAGACTTCGTCCAGGAAGAAGATGGCGATCAAGGAGGAGGAGGAGGAGGATTGTGACTCGGGTGTCAAGATGGAGGAGGACGATGGCGAGAGCAGCATCTCCACGTCGTTCCAGTCGATGCAGTCGCCATCCTCGTATGATTCGTCGTCGGTGGAGCAGGGCGTGAGGGTGAAAGAGGAGCCAGGGGAGATGAAGCAGGAGGATTCCTCGTCGTCGTCCCAGCAGCAGCAGCAGTCGCAGGGGCTGGCGATCATGGACGACTTGGGTTTCAGCGAGTGCGAGGACTTCCAGGAGCTCATCGATCCGGAGGAACTCATGCGGATTGTGGAGGGAGAGGACTATGACAGGAACACGAGCCAGATTTGGCAGCAGCAGCAGCAGCAGTGCCAGCAGCAGCCAGCGGCCATGGACGATTTGATGCCGTGGGAGGTGTCGTTCGATCCTCCCAGCTAATACTTCGCCCCCAACTCCCTGGTCAGCGCGGGGAAAGATTTTGAGCAAGGGCGATCGTTCTTTCTATGTTCTTCGATCGTTCTGTTCGTTTCACGCTTGGTGGAAAACTAGCGGGTTGGTCGGTTCAGTTGGATGGTCGGTAGGAGGGAGTGTACACTAGGAACAAGAGAGGGAAAAGGAGAAAATTTTGCTTGGTAGGTAGGAAGGAGGGTGCTAAAATTCCTCCTTTTGTAATTACCTATAATGAAAAGAAAAAAATGCGTAGAAGCGTTTGAAAAGGCCCATTTGAAAATTTCTTTGTGATTATATCGTTCTTTAGAACCCTAAGCTTGGGAGGATGATTCTTCGATTGTGGTGTTGGCACGCGCACGGGGCACTTGTTCTGGGCGCGCGGCAGCGATGGCGCGCTCCAGCAGGTCAGTCGCATTGCTCGGATTTGATACGAGGATGAGTGTGTGGAGGAAAGTGTGTGATTTGCAGCGGCTAGATTGTACTGTTCTTGTCAAGCGGATCTTTCGCGTGTGCTTGAGAAGGTAATCTCGCCGTAGATGTTTGACCAGGTAGTGAGTGATGTTTTCTTGCTGGCAAACAGGCAGACAGAGCTGTCGAGAGGCAAGAGGTTTTGCACACGGATTTCCTGACACCACCCGCATTGCAAGAGTCGCTTGCGTGCGTGAGAAAGCTCGCGGATGTTGGAGTGGTTGTCTCTGGGGGCTACGCTCAGGTAGAGACGATCAAAACAAAAACAAAAACAAAAATGGAAAACTTTGTGGAACTTTGTTCCAGGCTGAAAGATGTCGTCTATCACTTGGCCCTGCCGATCTGATAAGAGCTTCCCAATGCAGCGCCGGTGGATATCCTGGAGCAGTATCAGCATTGAGGTACCATTCCATATATCCCAGCTGTAGCTTTCATGTTGCTCGATTTCTTTGCAGTGTTTCTGGCAAGTTCGTCCATGATGCAGCCAACCATGGGGATTTTCTTGGAGCAGTCCTGGGAACAGGAATTGTTCGCGAGAAAGTTGGAGACATTATCGTTCTGGTAAGTTCTATCTTTGCGACTGTGTAAGATGACATTTACTGTTGCAAGGATTGTTCTCAAGGTGCGCAAATCCTAGTCGCCCCGGAGCTCGTCGAGTATCTTATCGCCTCTCTCAAGCAGGCAAGTGGTAGAATTCGTCGTGAGGATTTTCACTTGCTAGTTATGTTTCACACAGGTGAGAACCATTTCAGTCCAATGCAAAGAAATACCACTCGCCGAGATAGAAATCCATAAACCAAGGTAGAGCTAGTACTTTGCTGAAGGTTGCTAACATTCGTGTTGAAAAGGGTGAAGGCTTTGAAATCTGTGGAAGCATCGTTGAGGCTGGACGCTGTTGCCAGTGCAGGGTTTAAGCTCTCGCGTTCTAAGCTTGCAGACTTGATAAGGTAGAGTTGAAGAGATGGAAGCTAATGCATCGGACTGTTTGGCTTCGGCTTTTACTCTGAACAGCAAAGGGGACGTAAGATTGAATTGGAAAGAGGCAACAAAGAGCAACACGAGCTTGAAATCTGGGGATGTTATCTCCCTCGCTGGTAAAGGAAGACTCCAGGTTAGTATCAAACTTGCTGGAATGCTTTTGAGACGAACTCTCTTGTCTTTAGATCGGTGAGATCGAAACAACAAAGAAAGGAAAATTTTCCGTGGAAATGATCTGCTATGAATAAAGAGCAAACCAGGAAAAGTTGTTTGAAGATCAACATCAAGCCGTTGTCACCATTTGCGACCACACAAATTACTTTGGTGGCCTATTAAATTGAATTAATTATGTTTTATAATTTTTGAGTTTGTGAGGGCCAAGTGTACGGCTATGATGCCGTATATTAATATTAGTGTAGTGGGATTTTGGTAGCCGTTGGATTAGTTTCAATTTGGACCACTCGCTCTTGTATATAAATTAGGGTTTTTGGGCTAATTGATATGCACATTTCTATATTCCAAACATTCACATTGGTGAAGTTGAAGGGCACCTTTGATTGTCCCTGAGGAATGCTTGGATTTGGGATTTTGGTTTAGATTTAGCTTTTGCATTGTCTAGATTTAGCTTTTTCCATTTCCTTCTTTTTATTCTTTCCTTTCAGGATTTTGGTTTAAATCTAGCTTTTTGCATTGTCTAGATCTACCATTTCCTTCTAGCTTTTTGTTATTTCTCTTCTTTTACTCTTTTTTTTTCATTCATCTCCATGGCAGATCAGCAATCTCCTCTTTTGACTCTTGAGCAGCAGTTGGTCCAATTGCTTGATGCTATGCACTTGCAATTGAACAACCAAACTCAATTGATGGCGGCATTCACGGCACATGGTCCAACTCCTCCTGCTCTTGGTGCCAATCCTCGCGTTCGGCCGGAGTTCTTTCGTGGGAATCCCGGGGATGATGTGTACCATTAGTTTGATCACTTTACGGTGATTGCCACATATCATTCTTGGGATGATGCTCGACGTTTACGTGAGTTTCCTACGTGTCTCCAAGGGATGGCATTGCAATGGTACAATGGATTGAGTGCGGCCACTCGTGAGGATTGGAGTGTTCTTCCGGACGTCTTCAAAAGCGCCTTCGGACATGCCGACGATTGTGATGATGCCTTCCAACAATTGCATTGTCTTCGCCAAGGGCCATCTGAGTCGGTGATGCAATTTGGCATTCGTTTCCGAAGTCTTTTGCTTCGTGCGGAGCCCAATATGTTGGAGCGGATCAAGCTAGGAATGTTGTGGCCAGCACTTCGTCAAGATCTTGCCGGCCTTGTGCATGCACTTGCTCCTGCCACCCTTGACGATGCTCTTCGCTTGGCACAACGTTATGAGACGTCGCCTCTTCCACTTCTCGCTGCACATCCTTCCACTCCACTTTCTATGAGTGATGGTCCTGTTCCCATGGAGGTTGATGCTGCTGCTACTCGAGTCCAAGGACAAGGACGAGGACGTGGTCGTGGCCGTGATGTTCGTTGCTGGGCGTGTGATGAAGTTGGTCATACTTATCGGCGTTGTCGGCGCTTTCCGGATTGGTGACCTCCATTTCCTGGGGGAGACCTTGGCGTCAACAACGTCCTGTTGGTGCTGCTGCAGTTGAAGGTTTGGACACCGAGATGAATCTGGGAAACGAGGAGTCGCGCGAGTAATGGAGGGACCTTGCGCGAATAAGTTAGTGACCCCTCCATCTTTCTTTCGGGAGTATCATCAAGGGGTTCACTCGGCACTAGTTCATCCAGTGTTTACTTTCCAAGCTCATCTTTATAACAAGAGGTCTCCTATTATTTTCTCCGTGTTGGTTGATACAGATTCGAGTTTATCTTCTATTGCTCGACCTGTTGCCACACGTTATCGTCTATACTTGCGTCGTGCGGCAGAACCAGTTTTCATTCTTTATGGCAATGGCTGTACACATGCATGTGCACGGGATGAGGCAAACCTGGTTGTGCGTGTGGGCGATCTCGAGCTTGAGTTGCAGTCGTTGCAGGTGGTGCCGAGTCAAGCTTTTGACCTCATTCTTGGTATGGATTGGTACAGTGCAATCATGCCAAATGTGACTTTGAGGTTTCTCCCCCTTGTCTCATACTTCCTTATGTTTCCTCCATTCCTCTCACATCCGTACCTCTTCGTCCCTCTACTTCTACCTTTGCTTCCATTACTTTTGTTCCCCCACTATTTCCTCCTGTGTTTCCATCTTGTTCTGCTCTTCCCTTTTCCGATCCCTCCGACGATCTTTGTGTTCCAGCAGTTGACCGGCTCATGAAGGAGTATTCTAATCTCTTTGACTTTGACCTATCGTCTGAAGCCAAGATTGCTACACATCATCCGATTCCAACTGGGGATGCTCGTCCAATCAAGGTTCTTGTTCGTTGTCGGTCACCAAAGAAGATCAAGATTTTACGTGCAAATGTCCAGGAGATGTTGGAGAAGGGTGTTATTCAGAAGTCGTGAAGTCCTTGGGCATGTGAACCTCATCTTGTGACGAAGCCTGATGGGAGTATTCGTTTCTGCATCGACTATTGTCCGTTAAACGACGTAACAATCCCGGATGTGTACCCTCTTCCTCACACTGCTAATCTCTTGGATCGTTTGGGGCGAAGTCGTTGGTTCACCAAGCTAAATCTTGCTTCTGGGTACTGGCAAGTACCGATGGCCGAAGAAGATATTCCTAAGACTGCTTTTCGTACACCATTTGGTTTGTATGAGTTCTTGGTGATGCCATTTGGTTTGAACAATGCTCCAGCAACTTTTCAACGGATGATGGACGAGGTTCTTTGAGATATGCCGGAGGTGACTGCTGACTTCATTGATGATGTCTTGATCCACTCGGAGGGGACGTGAGAGGAGCACGTTCGTGATGTTTGTAAAGTGTTGGATCGGCTACGCGACGTTGGTTTAAAGCTGAAGCGGTCAAAGTGCATGTTTGGGTCCAAGAACACAACTTATTTTGGGTACCGTATTTCTCGTGAGGGTTTGCAAGTTGATCCTGACAAACTTGTCGCTGTTCTAAAGTTCCCTACTCCGAAGTGTGTGAATGATATGTAGCGCTTCTTGGGCAAGGTGCAGTATCTCAGGCGTTTTGTGGATCATCTTTCTGATCGCACTGCACCATTGCGAGCGTTGCTGAAGTCATCAACATCATCTTTCATCTGGTCTCCGGATTGTGAGCATTTGGGGATCTCAAAAAGTTATTGACAACTCCTCCGGTTTTGGCACATCCTGACTACACTCAACCTTTTATTTTGCGCATGGATGCTTCTGACATTGGTCTTGGAGGTGTGTTAATGCAAGAGAGCTCAAGTGTGCCTGGTTAGCACCATCCCATTGCATATATAAGCCGTACATTACAACCAGCGGAGATGAACTACTCCATGACAGAGAAGGAATGTTTAGCAGCAGTTTGGGGTTTTGAGAAACTTCATGCATATCTACATGGTTCTCGGACGTTACTTGAAGGTGACCATGCTGTTGTTACTTCGTTATTAAAGCGAAAGAACCTGGTTGGTCGTACTGCTCGGTGGGCTTTGAAGCTTCAGATATATGATTTTGATGTTGTTCACCGCCCAGGGAGTTCTATGGCTGATGCTGATGCCCTTTCTCGAGCTCCTCTTCCTTCTTCATTCTCTTCTCATGTTTCTAACGAGCCTGTCGTTCCAGCATCTGTGGATTTTCTATACGAGGATTCTGTGCCGTCAGCAGTTGCTATACTTAATGTTCAGTGTCCACAAGGTGTAGAGCAAGATCTACCTTCGCTTGATGAGGTTCGTGAGGCTCAAAAGATTGAGCCATAGATTCGAAGGCTTCGAGATGGGTTTGAGAATCCTGCATCACTTGCTGATGACTTGCCTTTCTGGCATTTACATTCTCAATATCGTCTTGAAGGTGGCCTTCTTTATTTTGTGGGGACAGATCCTGATGATCATTACGGCTGGTGGTGCCTTCTATCTTTATTCCGCGGTTTCTCCATACCTACCATGATTCTCCTGTTCTAGGTGGGCATATGGGACATCGTCGTGTAATCGAGAAGCTACGTAGGTCTTTCTATTGGCCGGAGATGCGACGTGATATTATCCGGTATGTGCGTAGATGCATTTGGTGCCAAGCTCGTAATACTCCTCCTCGGACTGCGAAAGGACAGTTAGCGTCAATTGCAATTTCCCGTCCATTTGAATTGGTGGCATTTGATCTTATGGGACCTTTTCCACAGTCAACTGCTAGCAATGAGTATGTTATTATTGCTTTTGACTATTTGACTCGTTGGGTGGAAGTTGGTGCTCTTGCTAGTGCCTCTGCAACTGCTGTTGGATACTTCCTCTTCAATCGAGTGGTGTTCCAACATTCTTGTCCAGAGCGGATTCTTTCGGATAATGGTCCCGCTTTTATGGCTGAGGCATTTCATGTTTTGACGTCTCGGTTGGGGATTCACCACACTTTCACGAGTGCTTATCATCCACAATCAGACGGTCTGGTGGAACGGCTCGTTCAGACGTTCAAGGGGATGATTGCGAAGTATGTGAACTTTCAGCATTTGGATTGGGATGGTTATTTGCCGTCTCTTCGGTATGCATATGTCACTGGGGTGCAGAGTTCTGTTGGTGCTTCACCATATAAACTCCTATATGGTCATGATCGAATATTACCAATAGAGCTGGGTTTAGCTTCGCAATTGCCACGAGTTGCGGATGCTAGGTCATGGGATCAATATTTGACAAGCATTCTTCCACTTGTCCGAGCGAAGTCTGCCAAACACTTAGGCCGCGTACAAGTGGGACAACAACGCACTACAACTCCCGTTATCGTCCACCTGCGGAGTATAAAGTGAATGATTTGGTGTTAGTCCGTTTTCCCCATCTTATGGTACGTGGTTTATCTAAGGGGCTCCTTGCACAGTGGAAAGGACTGTATCGGGTGTTGTGGCAAGTTGGACCACAAGTTTATAAGGTTTGGCATGACGTCCAGCAGGCCGATCCTCCAGAGATTGTGCATGTGCAGCGGTTGAAACGCTTCATACAAAGGGATTAGGAACAGTTAATACCATCTACAGATCCGCCGATGCCTCCTCCTGATGTTCCTCCAGATCCCGGCCCGTCTACAAAAGAACCCTGATGGTCTTCCATTATCCTGAGAGGGGGGGATGATGTGAGGGCCAAGTGTACGGCTACAATGCCGTATACTAATATTAGCGTAGTGGGATTTTGGTAGCCGTCGGATTAATTTCAATCCGGACCACTCGCTCCTGTATATAAGCTAGGGTTTTTGGGCTAATTGATATGCACATTTCTGTATTCCCTTTCCATATTCCAAGCACTCACAA